CGGAAGGGCCTTGGTGAACACATCAGCCGTGTTGGCCTGGGTGGGCACGTGAGCGACACGAAGCTGACCACGCTGCTGCAACTCTCGAGCAAGGAAATAACGCATAGCGATGTGCTTCGTTCTGTGCTCCAGTCTGTGGTCTTTACACAAGGCAATGGCAGCCTTGTTGTCGACGTACAACACTGGAGGAGAACGAGGCCTCTCTTCCAAGTCGGTCAGCAGGTAGGTGAGCCAGCGTAGCTCCTGTGCAGCCATGGCTATGGCGTAGATCTCAGCCTCACAACTGGAGCTGAGAACAGAAGACGAGCGTGTAGACCGCCAAGAAACAGAGCCAGAGCCAAGGCTGAACGTGTAGCCCTGTGACGACCGCTGCGTAGCTAGGTCGTCAACCCAAGAAGCGTCTGAGTGCCCAGTGAGGACAACTGAGCTCCGCCCTCCAAGCACGAGCCCCATGCCCGATGTACTGCACACGTAGCGCAGTACCATCTTCGCAGCATCCCAGTGCACCTTTCGGTGCCTACCAGGAGCCATGTAGCGTGCCAGAAGGCCAAGAAGGTATGCGAGGTCAGGACGAGTGCAGGTCATCAGGTACAAGAGGCAGCCCACTAGCTCTGGATACGGGCCACTCGGCTCTACGGACTCGTCCGAAGGTGGAGCTGAGAGCGAGTGACCGGTAGCCAGAGGAGTGGACTGTAGCGAGGACTAAGTGAAGCCGAAATGCTGAAGGACCTGCTGCACCATGTGTGACTGAGTCAGTGTGATGGTGCGCCGTGCTCTGTCCCGGGTGATCTGCAGGCCAAGGTAGTTGCGCAGCTCACCCAGGTCTGTGCACGTGTGTCTCTTCTGCAGCTCCGACTTCATACGGGCGAGAGCCTCAGTCTCAGCAGTGGCAAAGACCAAGTCATCGACGTACACGAGGATGTAGAACGGCGGCAACGAAGTGTCGGCGTGCAGAAACAGCGACAGGCGACGGGTCAGCAGTGGAAGGTGCAAACCCAAGAGCCGCAAGTGTCGTCCTCAGTGTGTCGTGCCACTCACAAGGCGCCTGACCGAGACCGTGGACTGGCCGGTGGAGGCTCCACTGGGTACCAGGAGGGAACGACCCAGTGAAGCCAGGAGGGCGGCGAAGTCAGATCTCCTCGTGCAGACTGCCCTGTAGGAAGGCTGTGCTGAAGTCCAGAGAGTGAAGCTCGTAGTCACGCTGAGCGGCAACGTGCAGCAGAACCCGAAGAGTGGTCATCCTTGGGGTGGGGGAGAAGGTATAGAAGAAGTCAACTCCCTGTTGCTTACTGAAGCATTGTGCAACCTAACGAGCCTTGAAGACAGGCAGAGAACCCGGCGACTGCTTCACCCTGAAAATCCACATGCCATCGACTACGTTCGCCCCAGGAGGGGGAACTGCGTCGACGTAAGTGCCTGTGGACTTCCAAGATGCCATCTCTGCGTCCATGGCTGTCTGCCACTGAGAGGAGTACTCACCCGCGATCGCCTCAGCGTAAGAGCGCGGGGTCGGGATGTCTGGAGCATCCGGGTCTCCCTCAAGGGCAAGCAGCATGGCCATGAGATGAGGCGCAACGGCTGCAAGACACTAAAAGTCCTCATTGCTGGTTCTGGCAGACTTTGACATAATTCTTCTGTCAGATTGTGCGGCGCGGGACGAGATCGAAAGAGTGCATCAGATTAGGGCAATCCCACCCAATCTGATCCGACCTGATCCGATCCCGATCGATTGAGATTGATTGGCCAGTCCTAACCACATTTCAAGGTGCTTTTCCACTCTTGACTTCACTATACCGGAATCCACTATGGCGAGAAACAGGGCTTATGTTCAGGTGAGTCAGCCACTTGCCCTGGTGCTGCCCCACCGCCATCTGCCCTCTATGATGGTTCAGAATTCGACGGCTCTTGTAACCACGTGACGGAAATCATGAACTATTATTTCGCACGGTCGCACGCACCCTGCGATGCGACCCTTCTCTTCCCCCAAGTACCACCACGTCGGTGATTTTTTGTCCTCTTCGATTCCTCTCACATGACTGCCCGCCAGCCTGCTTGGATGAAGTGAGGGTACATTCCTGCGGGGACACTTGTGTCTCAATCACTTTGTGACATCTAAAAACAGCATATACCGTGCCCTGTCACAAAAGCGGATCGCGCTTATGCGAGTCCCACTGTATTTTACATTGGTTGGCGTGAATTGCGCTTGTGTCGCGGACGAGTTACACGAGGCCCCGTCACATCCCGAAAATCGCACGCGTGTCGATATCTCACACTGTACAGCATGCACCTGGACGCCCGAACTGGGCACGTTTCCGCGCGGGGATGGAAACCGCTCTGCCCGGGCTGACATATGACTGGTTGTATACATGCTGTTGTGTGTGGGGTGGCCCAAATTGCAACTTTCATTTCTGTGGCAAGCCCACCGCGATACTCGAGGTGGTGCGATATGTTTAGCCCCCCTGCCCGGCGGGAAAACTGGGTGGGCACAATCCTATTGGTCGCAACCAATAGTACGCACCCACCTGGCTGTGCCCATCTGTCGCGCAGGGTCGCGATACATTGGTTGTTTGTGACACAACATTTGGCAAATTTACAGGCGCGACTCGGGAAAACGGGGATTGAGACACAAGTGTCCCCACAGGAATGTACCCTGAGTGCTGCTGCCCGACGCCCGTACTCAAACCACCTACACGTATTGTACTCTCTCTATCCCACCACCGCCACCTCTTTCCGCCGCCACTTTCTATGTCGCTCAGACTGTTCTGGTCGTGATCCTACTAAACCCGAGCTTCAAGCATACACACTGGACATTTCGACGCTTCCTGGCTTCGTGCAGTCACTGTACATATAGTGACTGCGCGAGGAGGGAACACTTGTACGGTTTTTTTTTTTTTTTTTTTTTTTTTTTTTTTTTTTTTTTTTTTTTTTTTTTTTTTTCTGGATTCCGTATCTTGCAGATATGGCGATCGCCTCACATTGTCTATTCATAGCTCGTGCGTTGGTTGCTCGTCAGTTGTCGTGCCCAACCTCGTCGATTAGTCCAGGCTGTCGTCGTCGCGTCGCAACACTGTTATAATAACTCTTTCCGTCGCGAATGTCTCACTGTTACACGTATGTGTATCGTACGGCCATCCTGCATCGTCTAGGAGAGAGAGAGCCTTTGCAACCTTGGCTCGGTCCGAGCCGAGCGACGTCCGGCAGGAGCCGAGCACCGAGAGCATCGTTTCCAGCCCTCGTTCAACACTCGACTGTCACGTCGACCGCGAGCAGTGCTGCTATCTCTACGAACTTTAACTTGAACTTGCCTTGCCAGCCGTCGTACAGCCACGCCACGATGCTGGGCGAATGGAGTGCCTGAACGGGACGGGTTGCGGGTGTGTCACGTTGTCGCAGCTGCGACGACCACTTGGTACAGTTGCTGTGACCAGGCAGAACTATGTAGTCGCTACGCAGAGAAGGGGAAACCAGTAGTGGCATCTTTTCCGGAGCTCGCAAAACTTCTCCCGTTCTTTTTGCCGCCGCGTTAGCCTCCAACCCTCCTTATGGGGTCGGGATACGTAGTACCTGATTGGATTCGTGGGCATGGGATGGGAATAATGACATTGACACACTATACGTGCGGTGAGATAAACAAATAGTGGGTTCTTGGCTGGGAATCATCGGTGGGGATTGTTGCTGTGATCACCGTCTCTTGCCAAGAGTAGTCCAGATCAGACCTAAAGTCCCGTTGCGTCATGTGCGCATCATCAGCGCATCATCATCAACATCATGTGTGCACTCGCCTTTGTTGCCAAGGCCCGGGGCCTTGGCGTGATATTGAAGATCTGGAGATTACTTGCGCATTAGGATGGTTCAAAGCGACTCGCCGGAAAGCTGGCGGGAGCAGAGTGTGGGAGAATCAAGCACGTGGGGGGGTGGTTCATCCTTCTGTTGGAGGCTGGACGGGCCGTCAACGCCGCGTTGCCACGCTGTAAAAAATCTCACCATGCCGGAGTCCTCTCAGATTAGCTGCGTGTGCTCACAGCCTTTTTACGACGTCTCAAAACTCGTCACACCTATTCCTGTTACGGCGGCTCGAATGCGTTCGGACGTACGCTGTTCTTCAAATTCTCCGGCTTTCTTTGTGGTTGTGACAAGCTGTTATTGCACCAGTAGCTCTCGGATACCTCCAGTAGCGACTACACACCCCTCAGAAAGCCATTACTATTCCAACCACTATTTCGCCACCTTCTCGCACATCCACTCCTTGGCGTGTGGCACCATCGTCAACGCGGCCAACCTGTAGGTAAACGCGTAGGTCAACGTGGCCAACGTGTAGGTAAACGTGGTCAACGCCGCTCCTGGTCGCATCAGAATGGGTTCCAAACGCGGCAGTGGCGCGAGCAGCCTGGCGGAGTTCCTATTCGGAGCAGCAGCAGCCACAGCAGCCGGAGGCGGTACTAGTAACTCACCTCCCCTTGTTGTGAGTTTGACGTCACATGCTGTCAACATCACTTCAGACGCTGTCCACTGCATAGAAGCCATGGCAGCGGCTAGCAATGACCCACAGGCTGCGGCTATGGCCGCTAGTAACACTCGGCGAGTCGTCGTCGTCGCCGCACCTGCGGGTGCATACTCCCAAGTGGAGCGAATTTTAAATGTGCCGCGTTTTGTGGCCTTTGGGAATCGCGAGCCGCAACCTTCACATGGTGACAGTCCAAACCCCACAGGTCAACACTCTGTTGCCGCCGCTGTTGCCGCTGATGCGGCTAATGCAGGGTTGGCGGATTCAATTCCACACGCTGTTGATTTCGCCGTCGATTTTGGCGGGCAGCCACCAAAAACGTTCGGCGCAATGCTGCCGCCCGCCGCCACCCTGTCGACCACGGGCAGTGGGCTGTTTACCAGCTCTGCCGCCCAGCTCGCGCACTCCTCCCCCTGGGAGGGACCCTCCGCTGCTTCTCAGAATCAGAACCACCTGCTCCGCTGCTTCTCAGAATCAGAACCACCTGCTCCGCGCAATGCCCCCCTCTCCGCGGCCAGGGGCGGCTGTCCATCAGAGCATAGGTGAGGGGTGGACCAGCAGCCTCTTTTCCACAGCTACGCAGGCGCGAGCGTCCCTAGGGATCCCCGCCAACTCCGCTAATGGTGGCGGCGGTGCTGCTGCTGCTGCGGCTGCTGCTGCGGCTGCTGCTCTTCCTGCTGCTGCTGCTTCTGCTGCTGCTGCTTCTGCTGTTGCTGCTGATGCTGGTCCTCGTGTTGCCGCTGCTGCCTCTGCTGCCGGTGAAGAGGCCTACATAGCTGGATCAGCTCAGCCGAAGCGGGCGGCTGGGCACGTAACTGCACCAGCTGGGCCAACTTGGGCGGCTGCTGGGGCGGCAGGGATTGCTGGGGTGGCTGAAGGCTTGGGCGAAGATGACGTGTCGCCGGGGGAACTCGCCTTAGATTGGGGCTGGAAGGCGGCACCTGAGAGGGGGTCGCATGCGGCGATGGGGAGGAGGGGGAGCAGTGGCGTGAGAGGGATGGGTGCAAGGAGCTGGGGGGATGGGTGGAGTGGGAGGAGTGGATGGAGTGGAAGGAGCGGATGGAGTGGAAGGAGTGGGATGTGCGGAAGGAGTGGGTGGAGTGGGAAGGTTGGGGCCAAGTCAGCGCGGCGTGAACTCCCGGACCTAAACGACCCTGCTGAGGAGACGGCTGGGGAGAGAGGGGCTGCGGAGGGAGGGGATCGGGAGAGAGGGGGTGAGGAAAGAGGGGGTGGGGAAAGAGGGGGTGGGGAAAGAGGGGTTGGAAAAAGAGGCGTTGGAAAAAGAGGCGTTGAGGAGGGAGGGCTGGACCTGAATGCACCTGGTTTTGTTGGAGAGGGAAGGCGGTGTCAGCTTGACGTTGGTCAACAGCGGTCAACAGTTTTTGGGCGTTTGTTGCCCAACCAAGCGGATCAGGCAGGCCCGTTCGGTCAAGGTGATAGCCAGCCCGGTCAACTTGGTCAACGTGGTCAAGGTGGTGAGCGTGGTCAACTTAGTCAGCAGCATGTTGCTGGCTCATCCAGGAAGCAGGAAGATTCACAAGAGCCGCACTCCCAGCAGTGCCTCAGCATCTCAAGTAAGGGAGTAGCTGTGATGCCGCCACCCCGGCAGCAAGTCACTGTGGGAAGAAGCCTTCTAACAGAGACTTCTGAGGCGACTCAGGAACAGTTGCAGCAGACTGGAGTGGGGAAGGACCTGCTGTCAGAGATTCGCCTGTGGCAGAAACAGATGGAGGAGGAGCAGGGTGCGAGCAGGAAGGCCCGGTTGGTGGAATCTCGAGCCTGGGGAGCAGATTCCCGAGCCTGGGGAGCAGATTCCCGAGCCTGGGGAGCAGATTCCCCAGCCTGGGGAGCAGATTCCCCAGCCTGGAGAGCAGATTCTCGAACCTGGAAAGCAGATTTCCGAGCTTGGGGAGCGGATTATCAAGCCTGGGAAGCAGATTTTCAAGACTGGGGAGCAGATTCCCGAGCCTGGGAAGCAGATTTTCAAGACTGGGGAGCAGATTCCCGAGCCTGGGGAACGGACTCCAGGCTGTACGGTCAAAGTGGGTGTGACTCGCTGAGTGCCTCTCTATTTCCTCAGGTGCGCTCCCGCTCGTGGGCATCGTTCCATACTGCTGCTACTACTACTGCCCATCCTGCTGCTGCGACAGCTGGTGCGGCTGCTGCGGCTTCCACTGCTGCTGCTGCCGGCTCTGTGCAGCAGATGGGGCTCGTTTCGACAGCAGGAAGCGGTCCAAGACGTGGGGTGGCCAAGGCGATGACTGGCTCCTTCCTTCACCTCACACCCCACCGCACTCCCGGAACGTTTTCGACCCCCTGGCTGAATCCATGGCGTCTGCTGCTGCTGACGCGGCACTGCCAGCTCAGCAAGGTGCAATGTTCTCCACAGGGTGTTATTCGGAGCGCGGCATGGGAAGGAGGTGGAGTCGCCTTGCACCTGTCTGTGGTGACGAACTTGCCACTCAGATTGCAGCTCTTGCTGCTGCTGATGCCAATGCTGAAGCCGCAGCAGAGTTCACTGCAGGCATTGGTGCAAATGTTTCCATGATTAAGATGCCAAGTGTTGGGAACTCACTCGACAAACTTCCAGAGCAGCATGAGTACCCACAGCCAGGGGTTGTCAGCCCGCTCGCCCAAAAAGTTGCAGAACTGCTTGACAACAGACCGTTTTTTGTGAGCGGGCCTGATGATGATTGTAGCTTGCTGGCTCCCTGGAGTGAAAGCCAAGGGATGGATAGGGCTTGGCAAGGGGTTGGAGGAGGGGTTGAGAATAAGTTTAAGTGCAGCAGGTGCGACAGGGCGTTCCATACAGGCCAGGCTCTGGGGGGGCATATGCGGAAGCACTACGCAAAGAAGTAATCAATTTCAGGAGATTCTGCTAGATCCAGGAGCAAAGTGGCCTCTCCTGACGCCACTTCGAAAGGATCAGTATAGTAGGTGCCATAGTAGTATTCACCAACTTATTCGTTCCCCCCCACCTCCCCCCCCCCCCCCCCCTCCCTATTTCTCGTTTTGTACAAGCAACTCATACTGTTGCTGGTCAATATGATATTACCAGCTCCATATAGAGAGCTTTGGTTGGAGAGGTGAATGTACCGTACATTGGAAGGGATTTTTTTTCACCTGTTTAATGTATTTTGCCGTTTATACTACACGGGTACTTACGTTTATTATAACGCGAATACAGTGATCCCCCTCCGCTCCGCACAATCTGGATCCAACCACAGGTGATGTTTCAAACCGTACTTCCGCCAGCCCCCGCCAACACCTACGACCCTCTTTGTTTGCTATTGGTTAAGTTGCGAAATTAGTCTCACTGAACCGTAATTAGTTCTAAAGAAAACGTTCCGTTTCGCGTAAGACCAAAACGAGCCCTAAGCGGAAGACTTCCACCCCATGTGCGCTGCTTCGGAAGGCGGAGCCACGAGGAGGTTAGGGGAGCTCTCGTCTAGTCTGGGGGAAACTTAGGGCGCGTGTCTTTTGCAAATCAGGCTGAAGTTCATGTTTTTTTGGGTTGCGTAGCAACCCTTAATATTTGGTTTCACATTTTGGGGATATCTTTTGAGTGGTATTTTACGCACTTTTTGGAGCACACGTTTGAATGTTTGGAACTGTGTTCAAACGGATGCCTCAAATAGTGAATAAAAGCACTCTCAAAGAGATTCCCATATGTAAAACCAAATACCGTACGTATCATGTTGAAACCATGAACTTGCTCGACCGTCCCAGCATCGTCGATAGATACGGCGGATGGTACGGCCGAACATAATGTTCTGGTATCAACATGCACGAATGCAATTGTACAAATGAACAAGGTATGATGTGGACTGGTTACTTCAAAATGGATGTTAAGATGCACCACATAGCAATTGAGGTTGATGGGGTCATTGAAACAGCAAAAACACGCTGCCCCAAAGACACATAGTAACACCACACTTTGAAGCACGCATCCCACAAACACAAATGCAAACGCTCGCAAAAGGGTGCAACACCACGAAACGATTGTGAACGGATCGAAGTGGGTGCTCAATATACACCAATGCTGCAACAGAGATTGGGGTCGTTGAAACAGCGAAAACACGCTGCCCCAACGACGATGACAACCTCAGATCACAAACACGGTGCATATCAGCACAACAACCCCCCGTGAAACAACCAACTGACATGAACACACCCGCACAAACTGATCCGCACAAACACACCCGCACACACATGGATACACATGCATACACAAATAGGATTGAGAGCAGACAAGCATAACGAAGAGTTGCTCAATTTATTATGTATCAATCACTGCTAGCTTGACCCCCCCTCCTCCCTCTTTCCGCCTTCCCTCCTCTCCATATACCATCAAAATCTCCTCCCTGTCGAACTTATATGCTATAGTCGCGGCCCCGTCGCCGCCCCTTGCGGCCCGACCACCCTCTCGCGGCCCCGTCGCCGCCTTCGCGGCCCACCCGCCGCCCTTCGCGGCCGCGTCGCCGCCCTTTTGCGGCCCCGTCGCCGCCCTCCAAACGGCCCCGTCGCCGCCCTCTAGCGGCCCCGCCGCCGCCCTTCAGCGGCCCCGTCGCCGCCCTACCGCGGCCCCGTCGCCGCCCGATAGCGGCCCCGCCGCCGCCCTTCAGCGGCCCCGTCGCCGCCCTACCGCGGCCCCGTCGCCGCCCTCTAGCGGCCCCGCCGCCGCCCTTCAGCGGCCCCGTCGCCGCCCTACCGCGGCCCCGTCGCCGCCCGATAGCGGCCCCGCCGCCGCCCTTCAGCGGCCCCGTCGCCGCCCTACTGCGGCCCCGTCGCCGCCCTCTAGCGGCCCCTCCGCCGCCCTTTAACGGCCCCGTCGCCGCCCTACCGCGGCCCCGTCGCCGCCCTCTAGCGGCCCCGCCGCCGCCCTTCAGCGGCCCCGTCGCCGCCCTACCGCGGCCCCGTCGCCGCCCTCTAGCGGCCCCGCCGCCGCCCTTCAGCGGCCCCGTCGCCGCCCTCCAGCGGCCCCGCCGCCGCCCTCCAGCGGCCCCGTCGCCGCCCTTCAGCGGCCCCGTAGCAACCCTCCAGCGGCCCCGTCTCCGCCCTACAGCGGCCCAGTCGCCGCCCTCCAGCGGCCCCACCGCCGCCCTCTTGCGACCCTGTCGCCGCCCTACAGCGGCCCCTTCGCCGCTCTGTGCGGCCCCTCCCCGGCCCTGCCGCCGCCATCGCTGAGCCGCCGCCGCTGCAGCCGAGCCGCCGAGCCGCCACCGAGCCGCCGGGCTGCCGCCGAGCCGCCGCCGAGCCGCCGCCGAGCCGCCGCCGAGCCGCCGAGCCGCCGCCGAGCTGCCGAGCCGCTGCCGAGCCGCCGCCGAGCCGCCGAGCCGCCGAGCCGCCGCCGAGCCGCCGAGCCGCTGCTGAGCCGCCGAGCCGCCGCCGCCGCAGCTGCGGCCCTGTTCCTGCCGGCGCGCCCCGGCCCTCCCCACCCGGACTGGTGAGAGCTTTCCCGAGCAGCGTCTCTGCCACTACACTACCTCTAGCCTGCCACTCTCACCACTAGACTACTGCTGTCATGGCTACCCCCAGTGTCCTTACCTTTGATGCTGAGGGTCGGGCTGTTGACTTTGAGGTCTGGGTCGATGACTTACAGCTTTTCCTACAGTGCGATAGGTCAGACGGTCTCTCCCTTTTCGATCTCACGTCTGGTGCCTCTCCTGCCCCGCCTGCTGATGCTGACAGCACTGTTCGCTCACAGTGGGCCACACGCGATGCTGCTGCCCGTCTTGCTGTGCGTCGCCACTTACCGACCGCTGAGCGTGCGCACTTTAGTCAGTACAAGAGTGCTAAGACCTTGTACGATGCTGTAGTTGCACGCTACTCTTCCCCTGCCACTGCTGCTCTTAGCCGCCTCATACTGCCGTACCTATTCCCTGACCTCGCTGCCTTCCCCACAGTCGCTGACCTCATTACGCACCTTCGCACTAGTGACACTCGCTACCGCGCTGCGCTTCCTGCTGAGTTCTGCGCCAAGAACCCCCCCCCCATGTACATCACCCTCTACTACATAGTCACCCGGCTCCCTGACTCCCTTCGCTCGGATAGGGACCACTTCCTCTCTGTTTGCCCCACCACACTCACCGTTGACCTCCTCGAGGAGCGCCTCCTGGCAGCAGAGAAGAGTATAGTCGCTGTAGGAGCCTCTCGTGGTGACCCTCGCACCCCGGTCTTTGAGGGGTGTTCCCCCTCCCCCCTCTTGCCCTCTGTTGCCTCTGCTGCTGCGGCCGACCTCGTTGGCCTCGAGTCGGTCGGAGCTGCGTCTGCCCCTAGCGGGAGACGCCGCACCGGCAAGGGCGGTGGAGGTGGCGGTGGAGGCGGTGGAGGGGGTGGGGGTGGTGGTGGGAGTGGTGGCGGGGGTGGAGGCGTCGGTGGCAGCAGTGGAGGCGGAGGAGGCGGAAGCGGTGGAGGTGGGAGCGGAGGAGGCGGAGGCGGAGGAGGCGGAGGTGGAGGAGGCGGCGGAGGTGGCGGCGGCGGCGGTGGAGCTGGTCGCGGCACTGCGCAGAGGGGTGGCTCCGGTGGTGGTCAGCGCCAGCAGCAGCAGCGCACTCGTGAGTCCCCGTCCCCCCAGCAGCTTCGTGAGTGGTGCGCTGGGCGTCAGCGGGGTGGGGGTGCTGGTCCCTGTACCTACGTCCTCCGTACTGGCGACCGCACTGGTGAGCAGTGCGGGGGCCCGCACCCCACCCTGCGCTGCTTCGGCCGCCTGACGGACGCTTGGCGTCATCAGTTCCCTGACGCCACGGAGATCCCTCGCTGGGGCGAGCTGTCTAGGGCAGGTGTTGCTATCTTTGATCTTGACTTTGATGCTATTCTTGCTGCCATGTATGCTGTGTCTACTAGTGATGAGGGTGACTGTTACTTGTGTGTTCCGCCTGACCCGGGCATTGGGACTGCTACTCTAGGTGCCGGTGTGGCTGCTGCTCTAGGTGCTGGTGAGGCCGCTGCTCTAGGTGCTAGTGAGTCCGCTGCCCCAGGTGCTGGTGAGTCTCCTCTCTCAGGTACCACGTCGGCTCAGACCTCTCAAACCTTCACCCTTGACTCGGGTGCTTCCCGCTCCTTCTTTCGAGACCGCACCACACTCACGCCGCTTAGTCGGCCAGTGGCGGTCTCCCTGGCAGACCCCTCTGGGGATCCTGTCCTTGCCCACTTCTCCACTATCTTACCGTGTCCGGCGGCCCCCTCTGGCACCCTGTCAGGTCTTTACCTCCCCTCGTTCTCTACGAACTTGGTGAGTGGTTCTGATCTCCAGGATGGGGGGGTTCACCAGTTCACTCCTGCGAGTCAACGAGTGACCTACTGCACGTGTGCTCGGACGGGCCGACACTTGGCCACGTTTACCCGTCGTCCGGGGTCGAGCCTGTACACACTGACTACCGGTGTGAGAGTACGACGGCTTATGCCAGCTATGCTTGCTTGCCTTTACTTTATTATGCTATTTCTAGCATAGGAAAATTATATGCATGCATGAATTGCTTGATTTCCTAGGCTAGGTGCTTTCCTATATTTTATTATAGTTATAGCACCGAGCTAGGTTGCGTGCACCGAATTCTGGCTTTTCGGTTGCCACCGAATTGCCTTCTACCGAATTCGGGAAGGATCTGGTCGGGACGCTTCGCGACCCGCGGAACCTTCGCGTAACACCTGGTTACGGGGCCTTGTGTCGAGCCTATATATAGCCTCGTGTTGTACCCAGGTGATCATTCAATTCACATTCTCTTTTCTGAGCTCGATCCTAGATCCTCACACTTAGTAATCAGAGCCCGTTTACACGCGAAGTTCTTTCGACCGCTACAAACCAGTCTTCAAAAAACCGCGGGGGCGACGCAGTTAAACATCGATTTCGGGTACGTAAAACCGGTTCCGTGTTTTTCGCTCCCCCTCGATTCGGTTTTTCGGACGCGTTGATGTCAGGCATGGAAGGCCAAGGCGACAACTACGCGACCACGAGCGACATCGCGAGCCTCCGCACCGACATGGAGCAGACGCAGGCGACGCTTCGTCGACTCGAGGCTTTTCTGACAAGCCAACCAGGGTTCGCCACCGCAGCAGCAGCGACCGCAGCGACTGCAGCACCGACAACTCCAGCAGCAGTGGCGACACCGACATTTCACGGACCGATGGCACCACTGTCGCCGAACCTCGAAGCAGCACGACCGAGGCTCCCTGAGGCGTTCGATCCAAGCGCGAAGGGATCCGACGTCCGACGATTTGTGGCCACCCTCGAAATTTACTTCGAGGCCATTGACTGTTCGACCCCGCAACACGACGCAGCAAGGATTCGGCTCGCAGCGACACTGTTACGTGGACCGGCTCTCGAATGGATTTACTACACCGACGTAGCCCGCGGGGAGAAAACGTGGCAGCAGTTTCGGGCAGATTTAATCGAGCGTTTTGAACCAATTAATACGACCTACATAGCGCGGCAGCAGATACACCGACACAAGCAATACAGTAGTGTAGCACAGTACACGCAGCAGATGGAGTTACTGTTCAACCGCACCGAAGGCGAAAAAATCCAGGCGTACACCGAAGGGTTAAAAATGGAGATTCGGCGGCAGGTGATTGCGGCGAATTACAACAGCTACAGGGACATCGTGCGTGCTGCCGAGCGATACGACGCGCTGACTCGAGGTCAACCCGAAACACGACGCTTCACGCCGAACCGTACATTCGGCACGGAGCGATCGGCACCCCCCACGTTCGCCGAACCGATGGATATCGACAAATACGACGCGAAGCAGCAACCGACAAAATGCGAATTTTGCGGCGCAGCAGGGCATCAGTTTTTGTCGTGCTACAAAATGAAGAAAGCACGTGCGGCACTCCGGGACGGAAACAGTGGAGCACCCCCGAAGTAAAAAAACGGGAATCGCCAGTAGCCGCGGATCGACCTGGCGATCGCGTAAAGATCCGAAAAGCAGGAAAAGGCGACGACGTGGCGACTTCGGAGCGGGCGAAAAAAGGAGAAAATGATGGCGCGAATAAAAAACGTCACGACCGGCCGGCATCAGGGGAAATCGCCAAGGCGAATGGAGGCTCCGCGAAAAAAGACTCTGCACCGACCGGGAAACTCCAGCCGAACACCCACGAAAGTAAGAATTCGTTAAAAGTATCCTATAAAGATACTCTAACGAAGAATATTGCTTCTCGTGGTTTTCAAGCCTTTGAAAAAATCAGGGGAGGTTTAGAGGCTAAGAAAAAGCCTTTAGAAATCATTCAGGTACCTGAGAAGTTGGGCAAAGTACTACGGAGCGTAGAAAAAGGTCGTGCGTTCCGTGGAGTTAATATTCTCTCCCCGCAGCACAGTGTTAAGGCTCCCCGTTGCCCACAGGTGAAGCCTACACAGCTGCCAAGGCTTAGAGGAGGCATCCAGGCTCAGGAGAAAATATACAAGCCTCGGAAAAATCCTCCCACCCCCCAGGTGAAGTTGGAAAGTGCTGAGTCGGGTATAGGAAAAAGGGAAGGTATTAAGTTTGATGTACCCTATGATCCTATTAATGAGACCCTCTTTGGCTACTCAGCGCAGCAGAAACCACTACTCCTCGAGGTGTTATGCAATGGACGACGCCTCCAGGCACTGGTGGACAGCGGTGCATCTCACTCGGTGTGTGACCGCGGAGCATTGGAGAAAATTGGAGAGAAGGCGGAGGAGACCCAGTTTTCAGCAACCATGGTGGACGGTACGAAACTTCCTATCCACGGCGAAGCATCACTGCAGCTGCATATAGGTGCGTTGAGGTGGAAGCCGAAGCTACCAGTCACCAACATCAAAGGGTTAGATTTTATCTTGGGGCGAGATTTTCTGAAGCGGTTCAACCCCGAGATCGATTGGATCAATAGCAAGGTGTGCATCTACAACAACGGGAAGCGGATAGCACTACGAAGCTGGACGGATACAGGGGACGTACCTGAGACGACACTGGCACGGTTCGAACAGACAGTGAACGAGAGTAACACGGGTTACCTAGCACTGGTCATGGCAGCAGCAGAGGAGGAGAAGCCGAGTTCCGAGCTCCCTGCAGCAGTGAAGGAGGTCTTGGAGCAGTACAAAGATATAATGCCCGACGACCTACCTGCAGGCGTACCTCCAGCACGCACCCACGAGCATGAGATCGTGGAGGAACCAGGTGCAAAACCCGTCTCACGTGCACCATACCGACTGAGTCCGACCGAACTAACAGACATGAAGAAACAGATAGAGTATCTACTGGACAGACAACTGATCCGCCCATCCACCTCTCCCTACGGTGCACCAGTTCTCTTCACTCCAAAACCAGACGGCAGCTTACGGATGTGCATCGACTACCGCGCACTGAACAAACAGACAGTTAAAAACAAATACCCCATACCGCGCATCGACGACTTACTGGACCAACTGCGTGGTGCAACAGTCTTCTCGAAGCTGGACCTACGGTCGGGTTACTGGCAGATCAAGATGGCGAACAACTCGATCCACAAGACGGCGTTCCGTACTCGATACGGCTCCTACGAATACTTGGTGATGCCGTTCGGACTCTGCAACGCACCAGCAACGTTCCAGGCGGAAATGAACCATATTCTACGGCCCCTGCTGGACGAGTGCGTAGTGGTGTACCTGGACGATATCCTCATCTACTCCAAGAATATGAAGGAGCACGTGGAGCATCTGCGGAAGGTGTTCGAGATCCTGCGGAAAAACAAGTTCTACGTGAAGCTGTCGAAGAGCGACTTTGCCCTGAAGAAGGTGCAGTTTCTCGGGCACATGGTGAGTGCCGAGGGCGTACACCTGGACCCGCGGAAGATCAAAGCCGTCAAGAAGTGGAAAGTTCCGGAGAACGTGAAGGAGTTGCAGCAGTTCCTAGGATTCGCCAACTACTACAACAGGTTCGTGCCACAGTACGCTAAGATTGCAGCGCCACTGACCGACCTACTGAAAAAGGATACGCCCTTCAAATGGGATACTCCGCATCAGCAAGCCATGGAACAGCTACAGACAGCACTGACCACAGCCCCAGTACTCATCCTACCAGACCCCGAGAAGGACTACGTAGTTGAAGCAGACGCTAGTGACCAGGCAGTCGGAGCAGTACTGATGCAGGATCACGGGAACGGTTTACAGCCTATCGCCTACCTCAGTAAGAAACTGCACGGAGCAGAACTAAACTACCCCATCCACGACAAGGAAGCCCTAGCTATAGTCGTAGCCTTCAAGGCGTGGAGGTGTTACCTCGAGGGAGCCAAGACCACAGTCTATACTGACCACTGCAGCCTCAAATACCTGAAGTCGCAGCCTACGCTCTCACGACGACAGGTACGGTGGGTGGATTTCTTGGAGACCCACTTCCACTACGACATCATCTACAAGCCCGGGCTACACAACAAAGCAGACGCGTTGAGCCGCCCAGGTCATGTAGCAGGCATTCAACTCGACGGGATGAACCCTCTGCTCAAAGGTCTATTCCAACATGGGTACTCCGTGGACGGCGAGATAGCAACGGCAGAGAAACAGAAACTATTACAGTGGGAGAAAGACCTAGCGGTAAGGAAGGGTTCAGGAAAGATTTGGGTACCGAATTACGCCCCGCTACGGCAGATCCTATTGGAGGAGTTCCACGACGTACCATACGCGGGACATTTCGGGAGCAACAAGACGTTAGCGGGAATAGCGAAGTATTACTACTGGCCCCGGATGGCAGCAGATGTGCAGCAGTTCGTCACCTCCTGCGACACGTGCCAGCGGATGAAGAGCATCAAGCAGAAGAAAGCAGGGTTACTTCAGCCTCTACCCGTACCGGAGCAGCCATGGCAGGTCGTTAGTCTCAACTTCATCACAGGACTTCCCTCGACCTCACGGGGACATGATTCCATCCTCGTAGTCATTGATAAGTTCTCCAAAATGGGGCACTTCCTACCGACCAACGCCACCGCCACAGCAGAAGCAACTGCTCGCCTCTTCTTCGACCGCATCATCACCATCCACGGCATCCCCGCTACACTCATCTCAGACAGAGACCCAAAATTCACCAGTAAGTTTTGGAAGGAGCTCATGGGATTATTGGGGACTAAACTTGCGATGTCCTCAGCATACCACCCACAGACTGACGGACAGACACAGCGACTCAATCAAGTGGTTGAACAGTTACTGCGCACAGCTTGCAAGGACGACGTCAGCCACTGGGACACACAGTTGCCGACCCTAGAGTTCGCTTACAACAACGCGTCACATGCGGCCACAGGGAAAACTCCTTTCTTCCTGTGTTACGGACGGGAACCACTCACACCACAGCAACCTACCACACCGGCACACGTCCAAGCCGCACATGACTTCGTCACCACCATGCAGCAGCTATGGGAGAAGACTCAGCGACGACTCACCACGATGCAGACCTCCCAGAAGCAGTATGCCGATCGTCAGCGACGTGATCACTCAGTAGCAGTCGGAGATCAGGTGCTTCTTGACACGCGCAACTTGAACCTGTCTCACCTCCCATCCAAACTCCGGCCTCGCTTCTGTGGTCCTTTTCTCGTTGAGGCACAGGTGACACCAGTTACATTCCGCTTGCGCTTACCAGATACGTGGAAGCTTCACAATGCTTTCCATGTGCAGCTACTGAAACCCTACAAGGACCCCAACCAACAGTTCCAGCCACCTCCACCTGTTTTTGTGCAGGACGAAACCGAGTACGAGATTGAGCGCGTCCTCTCTCATCGGCGCCGCGGCGGCAGGACCCTCGAGTTCCTGATACGCTGGAAGGGATACGACCCCACTGAGGACAGTTGGGTTGCAGAAGCTGATATGGGCAACGCACGCCGTGCTCTCAAGGACTATCTTGTCAAGCAGGGTGTATCTCACGCCACCCAGCTTTGAGGGGGGGACGTGTGAGAGTACGACGGCTTATGCCAGCTATGCTTGCTTGCCTTTACTTTATTATGCTATTTCTAGCATAGGATAATTATATGCATGCATGAATTGCTTGATTTCCTAGGCTAGGTGCTTTCCTATATTTTATTATAGTTATAGCACCGAGCTAGGTTGCGTGCACCGAATTCTGGCTTTTCGGTTGCCACCGAATTGCCTTCTACCGAATTCGGGAAGGATCTGTTCGGGACGCTTCGCGACCCGCGGAACCTTCGCGTAACACCTGGTTACGGGGCCTTGTGTCGAGCCTATATATAGCCTCGTGTTGTACCCAGGTGATCATTCAATTCACATTCTCTTTTCTGAGCTCGATCCTAGATCCTCACACTTCTGGCCCCTGGGGCAGCTGCCCCTGCAGCAGCCGCCCCTGGCCCCTGGAGCAGCCGCCCCTGCAGCATCCGCCCCTGCAGTCGCCGCCCCTGCAGCAGCCGCCCCTGCAGCAGCCGCCCCTGGCCCCTGGAGCAGCCGCCCCTGCAGCAGCCGCCCCTGGCCCCTGGTGCAGCCGCCCCTGCAGCTGCCGCGGAGCCCTTGCCCTGCAGTGGTAGCGCCCTCGCTGTTGCCGCCGTCGTACGCCTGCCCTTCTCGCCACTGGTGAGCACTGCCCTGCCCGTACTGCTGTCACTGCTGCTCTTGCTGCTAATGCTCTTTCTACTGCTACTGCTGCTCCTGGCGTGGCCAGATGCAGCTCCAGCGCCGTCCGCGTGAGTCCCTCACGCCCCAACAGCTTCGTGAGTGGTACGCTAGTTGGGGTTGTAGGGGTGGCCGCGCTGCTACTACTGCTACTTCTGCTACCGCTGCTACTGCGGCTACTACTGCTACTGTTGCCACTGCTGCTACTGCGGCTACTACTGCTAGTGCTACTCCTGGCGGTGGCCAGCTGCAGCTCCAGCGACGTTCGCGTGAGTCCCTCCCGCTCCAGCAGCTTCGTGAGTGGTACGCTAGTTGGGGTTGTCGGGGTGGCCGTAGTGGGAGTCGTCCTGGAGTGAGTAGTTCGGGAGCTTCTTGTAGTGGCCAGGTGCAGCTGCAGCGTCGTCCGCGCGAGACCCTTTCGCCCCAGCAGCTTCGCGAGTGGTACGCTCAGAGTAGAGGGTCACTGAGTAGTGCTCGCTGCCCGTACGTCATTCGCACGGGTGTCCGGACTGGTCAGCCTTGCGGGACTCCTCGTCACACAGAGTCCTGCTGCTTCGCCCGTCTGAGCGACGCTTGGCGTACAGAGTTTGGCGACGACGCTGAGCTCCCCTCCTAGCTGGAGCTGCTTAGGCAGAGGGTAGATATCTTTGCTCTTGACTATGATGCTCTTCTCACTGCAATGTATGCATTGTCTACTAGTGCTGAGGGTGCCTGTCACCTGTGTGTGCCGCCTGACCCCGGTATCCAGTCTGCTGCTCTAGGTGCTGGTGAGGCTGCTGCTCTAGGTGCTCGTGCGTCTCCTGCTCCAGGTGTCGGTGAGGCTGCTGCTCTAGGTGCTAGTGAGTCTCCTGCTCCAGGTGCTGGTGAGTCTGCTCTCTCTGGTGCTGCGCCTGCTGCGGTCTTGCACACCTTCACCCTTGACTCGGGTGCTTCCCGCTCCTTCTTTCGAGACCGCACCACCCTCACGCCGCTTAGTCGGCCGGTTGCAGTCTCCCTGGCAGACCCCTCTGGGGGTCCTGTCCTTGCTCACTACTCCACTGTCCTACCGTGTCCGGCGGCCCCGTCTGGCTCCCTGTCAGGTCTTTACCTCCCCTCGTTCTCTACGAACTTGGTGAGTGGTGCTGACCTGCAGGATGGAGGGGTTGACCAGTTCACTCTTGCGAGTCAGCGAGTGACCCACTGCACGTGTGCTCGGACGGGCCGACACTTGGCCACGTTTACCCGTCAGCCGGGGTCGAGCCTGTACACACTGACGACCGAGTCTCCTTCGGTTACTGCGTCTGGTCAAGTTGCTGCGTCGGGACAGGTGTCTGCTGCAGCGTCTCGGTCTGGTCCTGAGTCTGCCCCCTGCTCGTGTCGCCTCCTGTCCCACCAGACTCTCCTCTGACACCACCATTTTCTGTGGCCGTTTGCGGTTCAGTGCGCGGCGCATCAGATCAACCTTCAGCCCTGGGTCTCCATGCCGGAGACCTCCCCTGCTCTGCGGTAGATGGGGAAGGTTGGCGATGCGTCTGCATTCCGTGTACGGGGATCTCGAGCTTTCGTCCGCGACTTGTCTGCGGACAAGCTGTCGTCCCGTGCTGTTCCCTACGTCTTCCTTGGCTTCCCCACTGACGCGCCTGGTTGGCAGTTTTACCACCCCACCTCGCGCCGTGTTCTGTCCTCTCAGGACGTCGCGTTTGACGAGTCGGTTCTCTACTACCGTCTCTTCCCCTACCACACTGCTCCCCTTCCCCCGCCGCCGCTCTTCCTCGCGCCAGGTCCCCCCCCGGTAGACCCCCTCCCCCCCCAGGGTCCTGCTCCCTCAGGTGTGTCCCAGGTAGACGCGGTCAAGCAGGGTGTATCTCACGCCACCCAGCTTTGAGGGGGGGGACGTGTGAGAGTACGACGGCTTATGCTAGCTATGCTTGCTTGCCTTTACTTTATTATGGTATTTCTAGCATAGGAAAATTATATGCATGCATGAATTGCTTGATTTCCTAGGCTAGGTGCTTTCCTATATTTTATTATAGTTATAGCACCGAGCTAGGTTGCGTGCACCGAATTCTGGCTTTTCGGTTGCCACCGAATTGCCTTCTACCGAATTCGGGAAGGATCTGTTCGGGACGCTTCGCGACCCGCGGAACCTTCGCGTAACACCTGGTTACGGGGCCTTGTGTCGAGCCTATATATAGCCTCGTGTTGTACCCAGGTGATCATTCAATTCACATTCTCTTTTCTGAGCTCGATCCTAGATCCTCATAACCGGGTCTCCTCCGGTTGCTGCGTCTGGTCAGGTAGCTGCGTCGGGTCAGGTGTCTGCTGCGGCGTCCAAATCTGGTCCTGCGTCTGCCCCCTGCTCGTGCCGTCTCCTGTCTCACCAGACTCTCCTCTGGCACCACCGCCTTGGTCACCCCTCCCTGCCTCGTCTCCGAGGTATGGCCTCCCGTGTCCTTGTCTCTGGTCTCCCCCGGTCCCTCCCTCCTCTTCCTCCGGGGCCTGCCCCTACCTGCATCCCCTGCGTCGAGGGGCGGCAGCGCGCTGCTCCTCACTCCTCCGAGTTTCCTCCGACAGAGGCTCCGCTGCAGACGCTGCACATGGACGTGTGGGGCCCAGCCCGCGTCCGTGGCCAGGGTCATGAGCGTTACTTCCTGCTGGTGGTTGACGACTTCTCGCGTTACACCACAGTCTTCCCCTTGCGCAGCAAGGGTGAGGTCACTGCGGTGTTGATCGACTGGATCCGCGCAGCTCGTCTCCAGCTCAGAGAGAGTTTCGGCTCGGACTTTCCTGTTCTGCGTCTGCACTCCGACAGAGGCGGAGAGTTCTCCTCTGACCTTCTGCGAGCCTTCTGTCGTGCACGAGGCATCCGCCAGACGTTCACGCTTCCGGCCTCTCCACAGCAAAATGGGATTGCTGAGCGCCGCATTGGCATGGTCATGGACGTCGCTCGTACGTCCATGATCCATGCGGCTGCCCCCCATTTTCTGTGGCCGTTCGCGGTTCAGTACGCGGCGCATCAGATCAACCTTCAGCCCCGGGTCTCCATGCCGGAGACCTCCCCTGCTCTGCGGTGGACGGGGAAGGTTGGCGATGCGTCTGCGTTCCGTGTCTGGGGATCTCGGGCGTTTGTCCGCGACTTGTCTGCGGACAAGCTGTCCCCCCGTGCTGTTCCCTGCGTCTTCCTTGGCTTCCCCCCTAACGCGCCTGGTTGGCAGTTCTACCACCCCACCTCGCGCCGTGTTCTGTCCTCTCAGGACGTCACGTTTGACGAGTCGCTTCCCTACTACCGTCTCTTCCCCTACCGCACTGCGTCCCTCCCCCCGCCGCCGCTCTTCCTCGCGCCAGGTCCCCCCCCGGTAGACCCCCTTCCCCCTCAGGGTCCTGCCCCCTCAGGTGTGTCCCAGGTAGACGCAGTCGAGCCTGTCGAGGTAGCAGTTGACTCTGGTGCTGCTAGGGGTGCTGAGCCTGCGGGTGCGGGGTCTGGGGGTGCTGAGCCTGGGGGTGCTGACTCTGGGGGTACTGAGCCTGGGGGTGCTGAGCCTGGGGGTGCTGCGCCTGGGGGTGCGGAGCCTGGGGGTGCTGCGCCTGCTCGTGTGGCGTCTGGCGGGACTGGGCCTGGAGGTCTTTCGGGTGCTTCGTCCCGGCGGGAGCTCCTCTCTCCACAGGAGCTGCGCGAGTGGTTTGCTCGGCGCTGGAGCCGTACTGCTGGAGCTGGAGGTGCTGCTGGTGCTGGAGGTTCTACTGCTGCTGAGGGCACTGGTGCCGCGGGTCCCGGAGGTGCTCGTCCTGAGGGTCCTGGAGCTGCTGGGCCTGCGGGTGCTCCTGCTGCTGGAGCTGGTGCTGCTGGTGCTGGGGCTACTGCGTCTTCTGGTGGTCCGGCTGGAGCTGGAGGTGCTGGGGCTGTTGGCGCTGGAGGTGCTGCTGGCGGTGGTGCTTCAAAGGGTGCTGGAGGTGCTGGAGTTGGCGCTGCTGGAGCTGGTGGTTCTCCTGGTGCGGGTGCTGCCGTTGGGGGTGCTGGTGCTGTTCCTGCTGGTTCTGGTGGCGCTGCGCGGCCGCGGCCGTACTTCGTTCCGCTCCTTGAGCAGGTTCTTGGTCTTCCGTCCTCTCTTGGTCCTACTCCTCCCTTAGAGTGTCCGCCGGCTGTCCAGTCCGAGTAACAGTTACAGCCAGCCTCTCCACTGCCTGCTCCTTCTCCCTACACCGGTCCTACTGGAGGTCTTGCTGAGCGTCGTGAGCCTGCGTCTCGTCCTGCGTCGCCTGTTCGTGCTGCTCGCACTAGTCGTCGTGGTTCGCGTCAGCGTCCTCCCCCTGTCCCCGGCACGCGCCGGATGTCTCTGCGTCCTTCTACTGCTCCACTGCGTGCCCCTTTGCCTTCTCCTCCTGAGTCCTCTCTTCCTGCTCTTGCTGACCCGGAGTCGGACACCCTTCGTGCTGCCAGTCCTACTGTCACGCGTCTCCTTGCCACTGTCGTCACTGACCCTTCCTTTGAGTCCACTACTGCGTCTACCTTAGTTGCTGAGCTTGTCGACTTCGCTGCTCGCTGTCGTCTAGACTACGCTGCTAGTCTTGTCGCTGAGTCTGAGTCTGTCTGTCCTCCGTCCGTCGAGGGTGAGTGTGCCCTTGGCACGGACGTCCTTGAGGACAGACAGGAGGATTTCCAGTGCTTTGCTGCTGCTTCACCTCATCTCGTGTCCATGCTGCTTGCCCCTGAGGGAGACCCGGATGCACCAGACATCCCGACTCCGCGCTCTTACGCGGAGGCGATAGAGGGTCCCTACTCCTCTCAGTGGCAGGCAGCCATGGATGCAGAGATGGCTTCCTGGAAGTCCACAGGCACCTACGTCGACGAGGTTCCCCCACCTGGGGCGAACATTGTCAGTGGCATGTGGATTTTCAGGGTGAAGCGGCCGCCGGGTTCTCCGCCTGTCTTCAAGGCGCGGTACGTGGCTCGAGGCTTCAGTCAGCGGCAGGGAGTTGACTACTTTCAGACCTTCTCTCCCACCCCGAAGATGACCACTCTTCGGGTGCTGCTGCACATAGCCGCTCAGCGTGACTACGAGCTTCACTCTCTTGACTTCAGCACTGCTTTCCTACAGGGCAGCCTGCACGAGGAGATCTGGCTGCGCCGCCCACCTGGCTTCACTGGGTCTTTTCCTCTTGGCACCCAGTGGAGCCTCCGGCGGCCAGTCTACGGTCTCCGCCAGGCACCTCGTGAGTGGCACGATACACTGAGGACTACACTTGCGGCTCTTGGGTTTGCTCCTTCTACTGCCGACCCGTCGCTGTTTTTGCGCACCGACACCTCTTTGCCGCCGTTCTACATCCTCGTGTACGTTGACGACTTGGTCTTTGCCACAGCTGACACTGCTGGACTCGCCCACGTGAAGTCTGAGCTGCAGAAGAGACACACGTGCACAGACCTGGGTGAACTGCGCAGCTACCTTGGCTTGCAGATCACTCGGGACAGAGCACAGCGCACCATTACCCTGAGTCAGTCACACATGGTGCAGCAGGTCCTTCAGCTCTTCGGCTTCACGTACTCCTCGCCTCAGGCCACTCCTCTGTCTACTCGCCACTCGCTCTCAGCTCTGCCTTCGGATGAGTCCGTAGAGCCGAGTGGCCCGTATCCAGAGCTTGTTGGCTGCCTCATGTACCTGATGACCTGCACACGACCTGATCTTGCATACCCTCTTAGCATTCTGGCACGCTATGTTGCTCCTGGGAGACACCTCCCTGAGCACATGGCTGCAGCGAAGAGGGTGTTGCGCTACTTGTGCAGTACGTCGGGCATGGGGCTCGTGCTTGGAGGGCGGAGTCCAGTGGTCTTCACTGGTTACGCGGACGCGTCTTGGGTTGACGACTTGGCTACGCAGCGGTCGTCACAGGGTTACACCTTCAGCCTTGGTTCCGGCTCTGTTTCGTGGCGGTCTACCCGCTCTTCTTCTGTTCTCAGCTCCAGCTGTGAGGCTGAGATCTACGCTGGGGCCATGGCTGCACAGGAGCTACGCTGGCTCACCTACCTGCTGACTGACCTCGGAGAGCCGCCTTGTTCTCCTCCAGTTCTGTACGTAGACAACAAGGCCATGCTGGCCTTGTGTCGGGAGCACAGACTGGAGCACAGAACGAAGCACATTGCTCTTCGCTACTTCCTTGCTCGTGAGCTGCAGCAGCGTGGTCAGCTACGACTTGCTTACGTGGCCTCTGAGGCCAACACTGCTGATATCTTCACCAAGGCACTCGCGCCTTGTGATCATCAGCGCTTCTGTACTTTGTTAGGTCTTGTACCTACTTTGCCTCACTTGCTCACTTTTTGACCTTGCTTGTACTGTGACCTATATATACTTGCACTTGCATGTTTAGCTTTACATATATATGCTTGCATGTGAACTGGCCTTGTGGCCCTTGAACTTGTGCTCAGAATGTGTGGTGACGTTGGGATCCACCCTGAGCTTGCTGTGCTTTGCTTGACTGGTCTTGTGACCCCTTGTTCTCCCCCACTTTGCCTATGGGGGTGTGTCGAACTTATATGCTATAGTCTTTCTAGGCTGTAGTGGGGTAGACAGTGTGGGGTACAGCTTTCTAGGGTTTCATATTTGTACCCAACTCATTTCCTAGTTCATTCATTCCTCATTTCTTCACACTCCCACCCTTTTCCACATTGTCGTCTCTCTTGCATTCCCTTCCTTGCTCCCCACAATGCGTCTTGCACACCTTGCAAAACAAACAGGTTAAGTAAAGATGAATTATCGTCGGAGAACACAGTGAATTATTCAATGACGAGCACATGATTGTGAAACGGAACTTGATAAGTACGTATGTATTGAAATCTGATAAGTACAAAATGAAAGTACCGATGAACAGTGATACAAAACAGGAATGAAATGCAAGTCTTGCAACAAAAGAAACCAAATTTGACGACTCACAAGTGTGGTTTGAAACATAGATCCCCTGAGCTGGTGTGCGGCAAGGCTCCAGCGAGCAACGAGCTGGGCATCGCCATGCTACAAGGCGCCAGAGAGTTGCAGCAAGGCACCGGCAAGCTGAGAAGAGAAAGCGGGCTGCCGTAGCGTGAGCTCACTGCAGCAATGCGTGAGCTCACTGCAGCAACGCGTGAGCTCACTGCAGCAAGACGTGAGCTCACTGCAGCAAGGCGTGAGCTCACTGCAGCAAGGCATGAGCTCACTGCAGCAAGGCGTGAGCTCACTGCAGCAAGGCGTGAGCTCACTGCAGCAAGGCGTGAGCTCACTGCAGCAAGGCGTGAGCTCACTGCAGCAAGGCGTGAGCTCACTGCAGCAAGGCGTGAGCTCACTGCAGCAACGCGTGAGCTCACTGCAGCAACGCGTGAGCTCACTGCAGCAACGCGTGAGCTCACTGCAGCAACGCGTGAGCTCACTGCAGCAACGCGTGAGCTCACTGCAGCAACGCGTGAGCTCACTGCAGCAACGCGTGAGCTCACTGCAGCAAGGCGTGAGCTCACTGCAGCAAGGCGTGAGCTCACTGCAGCAAGGCGTGAGCTCACTGCAGCAAGGCGTGAGCTCACTGCAGCAAGGCGTGAGCTCACTGCAGCAAGGCGTGAGCTCACTGCAGCAAGGCGTGAGCTCACTGCAGCAAGGCGTGAGCTCACTGCAGCAAGGCGTGAGCTCACTGGAGCAACGCGTGAGCTCACTGCAGCAACGCGTGAGCTCACTGCAACAATGCGTGAGCTCACTGCAGCAACGCGTGAGCTAACTGCAGCAAGGCGCGAGCTCACTGCAGCAACGCGCGAGCTCACTGCAGCAAGGCGCGTGCTGGCGCCAGCGCATAACGCGCCATTGGGTAAGGCGCCAGCACGCTATGCGCCAGCGCGCTAGGCGCCAGCGCGCTGTGCGCCAGCGCGCTAGGCGCCAGCGCGCTATGCGCCAGCGCGTTGTCGCATCATGAGCCAGCGCGCTGACGCAGCAAGGCGCCGACGCGCAACCAGCGCGCTGCGAGGCACTAAAGCGCTGCAGAAAGGCCCCAACACGCTGCTGCAGCACGGCACCAGCGCGCAGCAAGGCGTGAGCACGCAAGAAGGCGGCGCGCTGCTACAGCAGGGGGGATATCACTAATGTACTCACGAACGCCTGTCACGGGCGCTTGTCACGGTCGCTTGTCACGGGTGTTTGTCACGGACGCCTGTCACGGGCGTTTGTCACGGTGACACGGCGATTTCCTGGTGACGGGAGCTTGTAAAGAGCCGAGGTACTAGCGTGAGATGGCAAGAATTATTCACTTGCAGCTGGGATGAACAAGTTTATGGTTCTTGGAATGTGGGGAAGGGTTTGGTTCTGTATCCAGCCGCTTGCACGCGTGAACACGTGAAACCCAAGTGACTAAGCTAAAAGTGCACTGTACATTCCACGCTTTCATTGTGTCAGCTCTACAACATGACGAAAGCAAAAAGGGGGACCGCTTTCCCCACAGTTATACAGTTCTAGAAACACTTACCGTATCACACCACCAGTAATTACAAAAACTAGTATATGATTACTACAACTACTAGAAATATTATTGTTACCATGATTTTCCTGTGTAAAAAATAATCATGTTATGGTCATCTGTTAAACGTTAGTCGTAACATACAGATGAATATGCATTATGTATGAGAAGAAACAGTTGTAGATGGGTGAATGATACATGAAGATTAGTTACCTTTTGGCTAGTGTTGCATTTATATCGAGAATTTAGCACCTACGCAACCCTTACGACGTTGAACGTCGAGTCTTGTTTTCGAATTTACACATTCGAACTTTGGTCGACCTGTGGTCGACCATCTTGACTTTTCGTGGTCGAGGAGCAGCGTCAGCAATTCCGAGTCGCGCATGGAACAACAAAGTTCGAATATCAGAGTTCAACTTTAAACAGTAGATTACAAGTCGCGCTTGACTTCTGTAGGTTACCCGGTTGTGCGGTGTAGTTCGTGACCGGAACCGAAATTGGTAGCCCGATACATTTTCCCTCGTCATTGTCGTGAACCTCGCAAAAATTTGGGCGTGCGTCAAAGAACACACAATTGGGAAAAGGTTAAACGTTAAAATCCGAACGCTGGTCTGACTTCAGTTTAGTGTCCAACTTCCTTCACACAGTTTGAACCAGGACACACGATTCCCTCGCGAATGTTTTGGCGAGGATAACGAAACGGGTTACCAGCAAAGGTTTGACCCTATTTTCGAACGTCTACACCAAACTCCACGCCTGGGGAACTCTTCGCCCAGGGAACTTCTCGCCTTGAGAACTCCGACCCTGCTCTTCTTAGCACACCCAGGCCCCCGCCATTGTCACAACGCAAAGGTCAGCTCCCACCTACACCTACACCCAGCTCCGTCGCCGTTTCTTACCACACTCGCCGCGAATCCCGCCACCGTTCACGTTCGATCCACCTTTCTCCACTCCAGATCTCGCCGCTCGCCGACATGGGTGCTGCTCACAAGATCGCGGCTCACGGTGCGGCTGTCGCCAAGAAGGGCGGCCCGAGCGTCATTTTCGAGATCGCCGCTGGCCTTAGCCTCGGTGCCGTAGGTCCGTCGTCGCTTATTACCTTGTACAACAGAGTCACTTATCACTTCGTACATGAGCGTCGCTTTGTACTCAGTATAGCAGCGTCGCTTATTCCTCCTCAATGGCGCCGTCCCTGCACCAACCCCTTCCCTGGCATTTCCACGACATTCTTACCTTGCGTCCTGACCTTACTCTCGAATCGCTCAACGGTCTTGTTTTCTATTCATGTAGTTTGTCGGACTTCTTCGTGTAAAATGTTTCTGAAGCATGGAGACGCGAACCTTGAAAGATTCGCGAGGACTTTTCACGGAGTGCTCGTTTTGTAGTTGTAAACTGGCACTCGCTGCGAGCCACGTTAACGCGAAGCTTATTACGAGGCTAACGCAATCCTGCTGACATAACATTGCTGCGTGGCAGGCGGGTCTCTGTGGAAGATAGGTCACATCAACCCAAAGCTATTTATGAGGCGCCTAAGTGCCATACTTACGTAATACCCGTGCGATTTCATTGCTGCGTGGCAGGCGGGTCGCTGTGGAAGATGGGTCACATCAACGAGAAGCGCAAGACGGAGGAGTTGTACAACGCGCTGGACAAGGGCGAGCTCACCGTCACCGCCAGCCAGTAACGCGTTTGAGATGGGTTAGTAACGGTGACGTATAACGAGACCGGTTTGCAACGAGTAGGTAACACGAGACTGGTAACAATTGAGAAATTGCTGTGTTTCCAGCTCAGATTCGTTGTTTACTCGCCAGCTTCTATCAGGCACACCGTTCATCACCCTGCACTATTGTGTATCACCCTGCATTACCGTGATTCAACTTTTATCACTCCGCACTACCATAAATCACCCTGCATTCACACCTGTACCATCCTGCATCACCGTGCATCACTCTGCACTGCACGCGGCATCACTTCGCATCACTCTGCATCACCCTGGGTCACATCGTACGTACCTGCTACCCGCCTTCTTTTCACTGCAGGTTATGATGAGGCACATGTGGAACCGACTTACCCATGTTGAGCTGGCAGACGCACATTGAGCTTGCAGGCCCATGGCTTCTGAAGACATAACAGCTGATATGTATATGTATCGGAGTATAAAAGATTGGATTTGATTCATGACACATGGTATGGTACCCCAGAACCAGCTACATTTTCTTCACCCACATAATCTCCTCTCCTGTGGCTGCAACATACGCTCTAGGCCCAATGATGCTGCTTTTAGAGGGACCTTTGCCCCATGAATCTCCTGTAATGATGGGACTGTAGGTTCTTTCCTGTTCTGTCATACAGATGATTGATGCAGATGCTGGTTGTGTTGTGCACGTTCAGGATTACAAGTAGCTCAGGCTCCACTGTAGGAAAGCTATGCTGATTCGATATGCACCAAGATAATGTGTACCTAAAGAGTTATGGTTGAAATACCGAGCACAGCACTGCAACATACCTACGCTCTAGGCCCAATGATGCTGCTTTTAGAGGGACCTTTGCCCCATGAATCTCCTGTAATGATGGGACTGTAGGTTCTTTCCTGTTCTGTCATACAGATGATTGATGCAGATGCTGGTTGTGTTGTGCACGTTCAGGATTACAAGTAGCTCAGGCTCCACTGTAGAAAAGCTATGCTGATTCGATATGCACCAAGATAATGTGTACCTAAAGAGTTATGGCTAAAATACCGAGCACAGCACTGCACCAAAATGATAGCCGACCACAACTTGTTCAGTGGTCGGTGCGGTGGTGTATCTACAGTACCGTATACTCCACTCACACTACATCCTACAGGTATCAGATGGTGCAGTTGCACCCCTAAACTTTCCCAACTACCATGTTACCCTCCTTACCTGCATTGTTTGTGGAGGGCGTGTGTTTTGCTCCTCCAAGGAGTTCACTTGCTCATTCCCTGCAGTCCCTCCATCCTCCTTTTCCTCCCCTCACCCATCCTGAAGAGCGGGTTTGCTCACTCACTCACTACACTCCTTAAAGCCCAACCACCTTTCAAGTTCTCCTGCACTTACCTCCGCCTTTCAAGTTCTCCTGCACTTACCTCCACCTTTGAAGTTCTCCTGCGCTTACTCCGCTTTCTCCTCCGGTACTGTTTCCCTCCATCGCGCCACATATACTCCGGCCCCACCAATCCCCCTTCTCCCAATTCCTGCCCCACAATCTTTTTGTTACCACCGTGACTCTCCCTGTTCCCTTCATCTCCCTCCTCCTCCTCCTCCCAATCACGTGTCTCCTTGCTACCACCACGCCCTCTCCTCACCTTCTTCTCTCTTCCCTCCTCCTCCCTCCCCACTCCTCCATCCAACCCCCTTGCCAACCCTCCCGCCCTTCTCCCCCTGAGCTCCTCCTGTGTTTCTTCCCTTCCACCTCCCTCCTCACTCTCTTGCCCACTATCCTCCTCATCCTCCTCCTCACTCTCCTCCTCCTCACTTTCGTCATCCTTTCGCCTCCTCTTAGCACCCCTCCCTCTCCCCTTAGCCTTCCCAACCTTTCTCTTCCCCAATCCACTCTTCTCCCCCGTTCCCTCTCTCCCTTTTCTCACACCTCTCACCCCTTTACGCCCTTGTGACTTAGCTTGGGCTGGTGATCGAGCATGGCCTTGATTCCCCTTCACTCCATGTGACCACGTCAGGCCCTGTGGTGATGCTTTCAACCCCCGTTGTGGTGGTGTCTTCAATGCATCTCCTCCTGCCTTGCATCCTACTTCTGACTTCACTCCTGCAGTCGCCTTTACTCCTCTTGCTCCTCCTGCTTCTGCTGCTCCTCCTCCTCCTGCTGCTGCTGCTGCTGGCGGCGCTGCTTTCCGTGATCGGAGCACGCGATTGGCTCCCAGGCACGCAGCAACCAGCTCTGCTGGCATGTCAGCAGCGACAGGGTCTGCTGACGAGGATGGCATGCCAAGCTCTGCTGACGTGGACGATTTGTCGGGCTCCGCTGACATGGCAGGTGTGATCGAATCAGGTGCTGCTGATGTGGCAGGACCCCCTTCTGCCACGCCATCGGTCCTTCCCTCAGCTGCTGCCTCTGCTGGAATCTGACAGCCTGGCTGCTCTTCATGGCGAATCTGACCCTCAGGTAAATCACCAGGTTGCAACAGAGACTCAGGTGAAACACCAGGGTCTTGTGCAACCCTGGTAGCAGCAAGAACCACAGGGGATGCAGTCTGCTGCTGCTGCAGGGCATCATAAGCACCAGGTGAGTCATCCTTCCGACCCTTGTCCTTCCGATCCTCCAGGGCCGCGACGGAAAGCCCAGGCAGCCTGGAAGGTTCGGCAGGTGAGTGAACTCCAAGGGGGGGCATAAGACACAGTGCGCCGCCCGGTTGGCCGGTGGTTAGAGTGTTGCGATTCTCCTTCCTTGTTGCTGAGACGCCCGATCTGATTATGAGTCCGTGGGCCACCGTGCGCCGCCCGGCAAATGGCCGGCAACGTGCGGCAGGTAGTGGAGGTGTGTTATCGGTGTCAGCAGCTTCATCCTTTACAACCACAGGGGAGGGTGCAAGCTTTAGAGGCACTGCAGGTGGCACATCCTTGACAGCCACAGGAGGGCGCTCATCCGTCACAGCAGGTGACTCATCCTTCTCATCCTTCTCATCCTTCTCATCCTTTTCATCCTTTTCATCCTTCTCATCCTTCTCATCCTTTTCATCCTTCTCATCCTTTTCATCCTTCTCATCCTTCTCATCCTTTTCATCCTTTTCATCCTTCACAGCAGTGGGATCACAGTCCGCAGACACAGCGGGAGGCTCGCCCTTTTCAATGGTCTCAGCCTTCACATCCTCTGCAGTCACAGCAGGTGGCACATCCTTTTCAGTCACAGCAGGCAGCCCATCCGTCCCATCCTGTACATTCACAGAGGCAGGCTCAAGGCTTGCAGGCACTGCAGGCGGCTCATCCGTCTCATCCCTTACAGTCACAGCAGCAGGCTCGTCCTTCTCATCCATTACAGTCACAGTGGACGGTTCAAGGGCTGCAGTCACTGCAAGCGGCTCATCCTTCTCATCCTTCTCATCCTTCATATCGTTGTCATCCTTCTCATTGGCCTCATCCATCACACTCTCTACAGTCACGGCAGCTGGCTCATCCTTTTCAGTCACAGCAGGCAGCTCATCGCTTACAGTCACAGCGCCCGGTTCAAGGCCTGCAGTCATCGCGGGAGGTTCATCCCTCTCATCCTTTCCATCCTTCTCATTGTCCTCATCCATCACACTCTGTACAGTCACAGCAGGCAGCTCATCCTTTTCACCCTCTACAGTCACATTGATGGGGTCACGGTCAGCAGTCAGAGTGGCAGGCTCGGAGATCTCTCTCTTTACAGTCACAGCAGAGGGTTCAAGGACTGCAGCCACACCAGCAGGCTCGTCCTTCTCATCCCTTATAGTCACAGAGGCAGGTTCAATGCCTGCAGTCACAGCAGGTGGCTCGACCTTCGCTGCTGTCACCCGTTCTTCAGTCACAGTGTGACTGTCCTCCTTTGGAGCAGCAGCGGTTGCGGTTGATGGAGTGGGCAGCAGAGCAGGAGAGTGAGGGGCAGAAGGGACAGGTTCGGACTTCACTGCTGTCACCCCGTCTTCAGTCACAGTGTGTCTTTCCGTTAGAGCAGCGATTGATGGAGTGGGCACAGGAGGAGAGGGAGAAGGAGGAGGAGGCGAGCTAGGGGCGATAGGAGTGGGTGATGGAGGGGGGTGGGGGGATGGAGGAGGGTGGGGGGATGGAGGAGGGTGGGGGGCCGAAGGGGAGTGGAGGGATGGAGAGGAGTGCGGTAAAGGAGAGGCAGGAATAGCAGTAGCATCTGTAGAAGCAGCAGGAGGAGGAGCAGGAGGAGGAGGAGTGGGGTGAGCAAGAGGACGAGGCAGTGGCAGAGAAACGAGTGAGGGGAGCACCAGGAGGCGAGGGCGGGGAGAAGGGGCAGACAGGGGCAGAGGGCGGGAAGAAGGAGGGACCAACAGGGGCAGAGGAAGGGGAGAGCGGTGTTCCAAGGCCAAGGCAGCAGGCGGACTGGAATCAAGAGGGCCCATGCGGGCGTTGACACATGTGGATCGAACACCGTCTCCTGTCACTGCTTCCATCTCTCCAACATTCACTCTCTTGCCATCTCTTGCCTCTCCCTCTTCCCCTCTCCCTGCTGCCTCCCTGCCTTCCATTCTCCCTGCTGCATGTGCCAGCACTCCCTCACTCATCCCTCTTCCTGATTCAGTCTCATTATAAGCCTCTCCCTTACTGTCAGCAGCAGCTTTTCCACGATTGCCTGAAGTGGGTTCTCCAGAATTATTATTTCGTTTCCTCTTGCGACCCCCTGAACCTCTGCCGGACCTCCTCACGGTACCCGATTCTTCGCAGGTTTGTTGTGGTTCTTTTCCGAACCTGGACTTCCGAGGACGCTTGCTTCGGGGAGCCTTGGGATGGCTACCGAGCCTGTGAAGCACCAGCACCGGCGACATTTCCTCCCCGAACCTGAGCCCCTCTTCCAGCCTGGTTCGGCCAAACCCGAACCTGCCAAGACTTGCCTTTCGCACAGGCCTGCTGCTGGTAACACCGAGGCTGCTGCTGACGGTCCTATCCTCACCGAGCCTATTCTCACCGAGCCTATTTCTACCGAGCCTACCATCATGACGCGCATGGTCACCAGGACTAGTTTCCGAACCATAAGCAACAGCGCCAGGTTTGATTGATGGGCCGGCACAATCAGAACTAATAGCAACACTCTGATCAAGCCGCCTTCTCTTCCTTCCCACTGCTTCCCCCACTGCTTCCTCCGCTGCTTCCTCCGCTGCTTCCTCCGCTGCTTCCTCCGCTGCTTCCTCCGCTGCTTCCTCCGCTGCTTCCCCCGCTGCTTCCTCCGCTGCTTCCTCCGCTGCTTCTTCCGCTGCTTCCTCCACTGCTTCCCCCGCTGCTTCCTCCGCTGCTTCCTCCGCTGCTTCCTCCGCTGCTTCCTCCACTGCTTCCCCCACTGCTTCCCCCACTGCTTCCCCCACTGCTTCCTCCACTGCTTCCCCCACTGCTTCCCCCACTGCTTCCTCCACTGCTTCCCCCACTGCTTCCTCCACTGCTTCCCCCACTGCTTCCTCCACTGCTTCCCCCGCTGCTTCCTCCGCTGCTTCCTCCGCTGCTTCCCTCACTGCTTTCTCTGCTGCTTCCTCCGCTGCTTCCTCCGCTGCTTCCTCCGCTGCTTCCTCCGCTGCTTCCTCCGCTGCTTCCTCCGCTGCTTCCTCTGCTGCTTCCTCCGCTACTTCCACCGCTGCTTCCACCGCTGCTTCCTCTGCTGCTTCCTCTGCTGCTTCCTCCGCTGCTTCCTCCGCTGCTTCCTCCGCTGCTTCCTCCACTGCTTCCTCCGCTGCTTCCTCCACTGCTTCCTCCGCTGCTTCCTTCGCTGCTTCCTCCACTGCTTCCTCCGCTGCTTCCACCGCTGCTTCCACCGCTACTTCCTCCGCTGCTTCCTCCGCTGCTTCCTCCGCTGCTTCCTCCACTGCTTCCTCCGCTGCTTCTCCCACTGCTTCCTCCGCTGCTTCCTCCGCTGCTTCCTCCACTGCATCCTCCACTGCTTCCCCCTCTGCTTCACCCACCATATGCATGCCCTCTCCTCCTCCCTGCTCACATTCTTCCTTCTCCACTTCTGCTCCCCCCTCAACCTCTCTCCCTTGCCAGTCTGTTCTTCTCCCACCACCAGCACCGTCTTTACCTCCCTGTTCCTCTCCTCCGTTCTCCTCCTCACCCGTTATATCTACCATGTTCATTTCTTTCGCCTCCTCAACCCCTTCATTAACCTCCTCACCCTCTAGATTCACCTCCACTTCCTCCTCACCCTTTAGATTCACCTCCACTTCCTCCTCACCCTTTAGATTCACCTCCACTTCCTCCTCACCCCCTTCATTCACCCCGATTTCCTCCTCACCCCCTTCATTCACCCCGATTTCCTCCTCACCCCCTTCATTCACCCCGATTTCCTCCTCACCCCCTTCATTCACCCCGATTTCCTCCTCACCCCCTTCATTCACCCCGATTTCCTCCTCACCTTCTGGGTTCATCTCCTTCCCATCCTCACCCCTTTCACTAACCCCCTTGCCGTCATCATGCCCTTCATTCACCTCCTTTCCCTCCTCACCCCCTTCATTTATCGCTTTAGTCTCACTCGCCCATTCCCTGTTACCAACTGCAGCTCTCCCTTCATTGTCCATCGCTTCTCCTCCCTCATCCTTATCCTCTTCCCTTGCTTCTCCTCCCTCATCCTTATCCTCTTCCCTCGCTTCTCCTCCCTCATCCTTATCCTCTTCCATCGCTTCTCCTCCCTCATCCTTATCCTCTTCCCTTGCTTTTCCTCCCTCATCCTCCTCCTCTTCCCTTGCCTCTCTCCTCTCATCGTTCCCCTCTTCCTGTGCCTCTCCCCCCTCACCCTTGTCCTCTTCCCTTGCTCCTCCTTTATCATCCATCTCTTCCTCACCCTCACAACGATCATCCACCCTCATCTCCCCACCTCCCTTGCTCGACCCTGCTTCCTTCCCCTGCTCTACCTGATCCTTGCTCTCCTCTTGCTTCTCTTCTTTCTTCCTGCCACCCTCTGATTTCCCCCCCTCTTCTCTCTCCCCCTCCCCTTCTTGCGTCCCCACCTCTTCTCTCTCCCCCTCCCCTTCTTGCGTCTCCACCTCTTCTCTCTCTCCCTCCCCTTCTTGCGTCCCCACCTCTTCTCTCTCCCCCTCCCCTTCTTGCGTCCCCACCTCTTCTCTCTCCCCCTCCCCTTCTTGCGTCTCCACCTCTTCTCTCTCCCCGTCCCCATCTTGCGCCTCCATCACTTCTCTCTCCCCCTCCCCTTCTTGCGTCCCCACCTCTTCTCTCTCCCCCTCCCCTTCTTGCGTCTCCACCTCTTCTCTCTCCCTCCCCTCCATCTCACACTCATGCGAAGGTCGGCAATTCATGGCACTCCCTCCCCTCCTCTCTACCTCTTCCCCACTCCTCTCCATCTCCTCCCCCTTCTTCTCCACCTCTTCCGCCCCACCCCCCTGCTCCATACTCCTCACCTCATGCCCTATCCCATACCCTATTTCGTATCCAATTTCATGCCCAATACCATACCCAATCTCGTACCCAACCATATGCTCATCCACATTCTCATCCCCCACATTCTCAGCCCCATCCCTACGCACATCCTCCAGTCTGCCTTCACAGCCCTCCTCCTTCACAGCATTGATTTCAACCTCCCTTTTCCGCTCCTCCCCACCTATGCTGCTCCCATCCCCTCTCTCAACCTCCCTTTCCCGCCCAGGGGAGTTTCCGCACCCCTCCACGAAGCAACTCTCTTCCATCTTACTCTTCTCTGCACTACTTCCTTCCTCTTCTTTCTTCACACCATCCTCCTCCTGTTCCTCCTCCCTCCTGCACATGGTTGTTACTATCCCCTTCCCTTCTTTCACTGTCAGCCCCTCAACCTCCTTAGACTCTTCCCCAACTTCCCCTCCTGTCTCTTCCCCTCCTGTCTCTACACCTCCTGCCCCTTCTGTCTCCGCTCCTCCCACCCCTTCTCCTCCCACCCCTTCTCCTCCCACCCTTTCTCCTCCCACCCTTGTCCCAACGATCCTCTCCCCCTCTCTGCTGCTCCCATCCCCTCTCCCCTCCTTCCACCTCTCAACCCACTGCCGCCACGGCCCCTCCCCCTCACCCCACTGCACCGCTCTACCTTCCTCCATCGTCTCAGCACCACCGCTCCCTCCATTCCACTTCAACAGTTCAGCAAACCCTGTTAGCCGCCGCCACTGCCCCTGCCCCTGTGGTGCTCTCGCAAACCCAAACTTCACCAACCGGTCCAACTCAGATTCACCAGAGCCGAAGCTGAGCAGCTGCTCCGGTTCCGAGCCTGATTCGAGCTTCGGAAACGTCTCAGTCTTGGATTCCTGAACACTGATTCCCATGCTAGTCCGTGGTAGTGTTCCTGCCCCTCTCGTTTCTGCTGCTGCTTTCTGTTCCTGCTGCTTTTCCTCCCTCACAGAAGCAGGAGCAACAGCAGCAGGAGCAGGAGCGGCAGCAGCTGCGGCAGCAGCAGCAGCAGCAGCAGCCGCGCGTGCTCGCCTCACAAAGTCTCGCATGGAAGCTACAGCTGCTGCCGCCGCTGCTGCTGCCACGGCTGCTCCAGCTGCTGCTTCCATCTCCTCTGCTACAATGCCTCTCGCCTCCTCCCCTGCTCCTCCCTCCACACCTCCCTCCCCACCTCCCTCCACACCTCCCTCCAAACCTCTCTCTACGCCCACTCCACGCCCCTCCTCTCCCTCTTCCCCAGCCCCTATCAGCCCCTCCTGATGCTCCTCCCCCATCCCACCAACGTCCACCTCTCCGTCCTCCTCATCTCCCCCTCTTCCCATTCGAATCACCTCTTTTGATGCTGCAAGCCTTATCAGCACCCATCTACCCTTCCCATCCCCACCCCTCTCCTCCTTGCCCACCTCGTCTCTCCTCTTTTCCTCCCTATCCCCATCTCTCCTCCTCTCCTCCCCATCCTCGTTCCCCCCCTCCTCATCATCCTCCCTCCTCCTCTCCCCCCCCTCAGCCTGCTTCGTCTTCCCCTCCCCCTCTGGCCCTTTCACACCCCTCTGGACCCTTTTCCTCCCACCCCAACCGGCACTGCGTTTCACTCTCTTCCGCTTCGTCCCCCCTCGCGCTCTTCCCCTCACTGGCCCTTCTCCTCCCTCTCCCTCCTTTCGTCCATCGTTCTCTTCCCCCTCCCCCCGCTCTCTCTCAATCTCCCCCGCACCATCTCTCTTTTTCCCCTCCACCGCATCTCCTGGTAACCCATCAGCACCCCTCTCTACACCTGGTTGTGTCATACCTTCCCAACCAGCACTCGTCTCATGGGGAAGATGCTGACTCATCCCATCTGGATGCAAACTCCTCAGACTCCTGTCGCCCTGCCAAGCGATAGCAACCAGCACAGGCGCTGACCCAGCACCATCCGATGGATTATCCAATGCTCTCTCTTGCTCATCCGATGCCCTCAAAAAGCGACCATCATAAACACCATCACCACCACCAGCGGCAGCAGCAGCAGCACCTCCAGCCCCATTGGAATCCACAGGGGTGGCACTGGCAGGCCAGTGCAACAGAGGGTGAGTGCCAAGGCAAGTAGATACCTCAGAAGCATGCCAGGGCCAATCAGACCAGGGCTCCTTACCAAACACAACCAGCGCTTCACCACCCCCTCTGCTGCCGCCTTGAGTGTCACCTTGAGTGTCGCCTTGGGTGTCGTCTTGCGTATCGGCTCGGGTGTCATCTTGCCCCAAACTGCCTGCCATGCGAGTGCCACCATCCCTTCTGCTCACAGCATCCCCAGCATCCAGTCCCACTGCACCGCTAGCGCCCCCAGCCCCGGCCCCCTTCTCGGCCCCAAAGTAAGCCCCAGCCTTAGCCTCGGCCTCAGCCCCAGCCTCGGCCCTAGCCTCCGATCTGATGTCAGCGCCAGCCTCGGGTGTGCCAGCATTTCCTGGCAGAAGACTGATCTCTTTGGGTAGGCCATATGTACCCTCATCAGATGCACCTGCACCGGCTGCACCTGCACCGGCTGTACCTGCACCACCCAGGCCAGCCACATGAGCATCACCCGCATCCGCAGTTGCACCACCAGCACCAGCAGCAGCGCCTGCACCAGTTGTACCCTCACCTACACCAGCAATAGCACTGGCGGCAGCATCACCATCATCAGCAGTTACACCAGTAGCGCCCACACCAGTAGCACCCACACCAGTAGCGCCCACACCAGTAGCACCCACACCAGTAGCACCCACACCAGTAGCGCCCACACCAGTAGCACCCACACCAGTAGCGCCTACACCAGTAGCGCCCACACCAGTAGTGCACGCATCCGCAGCATCTGCGTCAGCATCTTGCTTGCGCGGCCTGCCTCTGCCCCTCTTCGCCTTGATGGGTGTGCCTGCTGCTGCTGCTGCTGCTGCTTTTCCTTCTGCTGCTCCTGCTGCTGCTTCTTTTGCTGCTGCTCCAGCTGCTGTTGCTGCTCGTCCTGCTGCTACCACTGCTGCTGTCGCTCCAGCTGTCGCTGCAGCAGCTACTGCTGCTGTCGTGCGCTTCAGTGCACTAGCAGCGGTGGTGCCAATAGCAGGGGGGAGAGCAGGAGATGGAAGGGAGGCTGGTGGAGGTGTAGAGATGGCCAGGGCCGGCGAGGCAGGTGACGGAAGGGAGATGGGTTCAGAAGGTGGTGAGATGGGTTGAGACGGAGTTGAGAGCGGTTGAGAGGGGGGTGAGAGCGGTTGCGGCGGGGGTTGGTGGGGCAGCAGCATGCCAGCCACGATGGAGAAGAGCCGGCGGCGCAGAGAGGATGCTTCACACGCCTGGAACCAGTCGTTGCTCAGCTGGTGGCGGGAGGGAAGGGGGGGGGGGGGGGGGGGGGGGTGTGTGTAGGGAAAGGGAGGAGTGGGGTTGATGATGAGGCAGCAGCATGCCAGCCACGATGGAAAAGAGCCGTCGGCGCAGAGAGGATGCTTCACATGCCCGACGGCTGGACACACGCCTGGAACCAGTCGTTGCTCAGCTGGTGGCGGGTGGGAAATGGGAGTTCGCGGGAGAGGTGGGAAGGCGGGTCTGGGGTGACTGAGGATGGATGTGAGCCATGCATCTCTGTTCTTTGAGAATTCTCAAAAAACATCTCTGTTCAAGGGTGACAGAGAGCTGTTTGCGCAGCGATAATGCGTCACATGCCTCGAACCAGTTGTTGATTAACCCTCGCCATTGGGGCAGACGGGATTGGACCAATCCCACTTTCATAGTGGGTGGGTTGAAAGTGAACAGCCGGTAACACAACACAACCACCTTACCTGCTAACCTATTGGCTGAGCAGGGGATAGCAGCAGCCACTGAAACAATTAGTTTGAGACGGTTGAAGAGGCTTGAAAATATGTATTTTCAATTTCGAGATAAAAAGGAAAAGAAACGGATTTGCAGCGCCCACCTTGTCTGCAACGCCATCGGCTGAGCGCGGGAGAGCAGCGGCCATCTGAGCAAACTTCTGGATGTAGCAGAGGATGAAGCAGCCACAGTCATAGTCGTTGTCCTGTGCTGGCACCTGCGAGGGCGCGAGGAGAGAGAGAGAGGAGAGCAGAGTGAAGGAGGGAGAGCAGCAGCCATCTGAGCGAGCTGTAGCAGAGATTGAAGCAGCCACAGTCATAGTCGTTGTCATGTGCTGGCACCTGCGAGGGCGCGAGGAGAGAGAGAGAGGAGAGCAGAGTGAAGGAGGGAGAGCAGCAGCCATCTGAGCGAGCTGTAGCAGAGATTGAAGCAGCCACAGTCATAGTCGTTGTCATGTGCTGGCACCTGCGAGGGCGCGAGGAGAGAGAGAGAGGAGACCAGAGTGAAGGAGGGAGAGCAGCAGCCATCTGAGCGAGCTGTAGCAGAGAATGAAGCAGCCACAGTCATAGTCGTTGTCCTGTGCTGGGACTTAGTCAGAAAAAAACAGGAGCAGTGCAGAGAGAAGGGAGCAGGGCAGAGAGAAGGGAGCAGGGCAGAGAGAAGGGAGCAGGGCAGAGAGAAGGGAGCAGGCGAGACTCGCGAGGGATTGAGTGCAGTGTGGGCGAGGCGAGACAAGCTCAGTGAGGGCGACCCTGCAATCCATCCATGAGGAGAGCAGACGAAGCATGCCCCCCTGCTGCTGCATGCACAGCACATACCTGCCTGCACTGCACGCATGCTTGTGCTTCAGGCAGGGAAATCCCAGAAGCCACGAGTGAGGCAAGAGCGAGCAGCCCACCTTGACTTTCTTCCCCCGCACTTTGCTGAACGGCCCAGATTGCAGCGGCTTCTTGGGATCCAACGGCTCCTTGCTCCTCTTCATCCACTCAGCCTGCAGGTAGCTGGGGGGGGGACGGGGAATGAAAGAGATGCAGGGGAAGGAAGAGATGGTATATGAAGAAGCGGACAAAACAGATGTACCATCACCTCCTTCATGTACACAAGGATCGAATTGAATAAAGCAGAAGAAAAAACGATCTCGCCCTCACTCATCTGGTGACGGCATGCACAGATGGGAAGACAGATGGAAAGGCAGACCAGGAGCAAGAACACAGAAGATAGGACATACCTATACATACATATATATATATATATGTATTTACAAAAATATATATAAATATACATACATATAAATATACATATATTTTTAAATCATGTATATGAAACTCACAACTTGATTGCGCTGTAGATGGCAGGCGACTTGGAGCTGTCTGGAAGCGAGTCAAGGTACAGAATGGTGGCCTCCCGAGTGCCGTTCGGCCCCGTCACCAGCTCCAACCCCCCTTCACGTGACCCCCCCTCCTCATCTTCCTCCTCCTCTTCCTCCTCCTCCATACTCCACTTCATCTGCCCTCCCCTTGTGCCCCTCTGCTGCTTCCCCTTCCCTTTGCCCCGCACCTGAACCCCCCTCCTTCCTCCGCGTCTCGTTTGCGCTGCCGTTCCAGCCCGCCCCCTGCCGCGTGCGCTGCCCCTGCCTCCCCGAAATGTTTTGAAACCTATTTCCTTCACATCATCATCACCATCAGCATCAACAGCATCACCATCATCATCACCAGCAGCACTAGAATTATCCAGTCCAGGAATCCAGCTCCCGATTTCCCTCACTTGCCCGCCACCTGAACCATCCTCTTCAGCCTCCTCCAGATTTTCCTCCTCGCCTTCCTCTCCCACTTCCTCCCCCACTTCCTCCCCCCCTTCCTCCCCCACTTCCTCCCCCCCTTCCTCCCCCTCCTCCTCCTCGATATCTTCTATCTCTTCCCCTCGATCCCTCTCTCCCTCCTCTTCTCCCTCCTCTGATTCCTCCTCTCCCTCCTCCCCTACCTCTTCCTCCTCTCCCTCCTCTCCCTCCTCTCCTTCCTCTCCTTCCTCTCCCTCCTCCCCCTCCTCTTCGCCTTCCTCTCCCTCCTCTCCCTCCTCCTCCCCTTCCTCTCCCTCCTCTCCCTCCTCCTCTCCTTCCTCTCTCTTCTTCCCTCCCTCCTCCCCCTCCTTCCCCTCTTCCTCTCCCTCCAATATCTCATCTTCTCCCTCCTCTCCCTCCTCTTTCCCTTGACTCACATAACCCACAACTCCAGCTTCCTCTCTCTCATCCTCTGCCCTTTTCCCCTCACACGTCCCCTCATCTCCCTCCCCATACCCCATATAAGCACCCCCAAGACCCTCACTAATATCAGATACCGCCTCCCCCAGTTCAACCTGCCCCTCCTCGCCTCCTCTCTCTTTCCCAGACCTTCCATCTTGTTCCCCTTCCCTATTCCTTCCCTCCTCAATCCCCCTCGCTTCTTGCCCACCCTTCCCATCTTTCCCATCCCCCATCTCCTCTTCCCTTATCTCCCCTGGACCACTCCCATTCGCACCACTCCCCACCTCTCTACACACCTCTGGGCTGGACTCAAACACCACCGACTTTCCGCCCTCACTGCCATGCCCCGCTTCACATGTCTCCCGGATCATCACAGCAACAGAAGCAGCACCAACGCCCTCACGAGTCATTTCGCGACTGCCCTCACGAGTCCCCTCCTTAGTGCCCTCACGAGCGATCTCAGCAGTGTGTGCACGTGCACCTGCCTTGCTCACAGCCTGAGGGCCATTCCGTGCTGCTCCCATCAGCAGCTGCATAGCAGACATGCCGTTTCCAGCTGCACCTGTAGCAGCTGTAGCAGGTGCAGTCGTAACAGCTGCAGCACAGGAGGTTGTAGCAGCTACGGCTGAAAAAGGTGCAGCTGTAGAAAGGGCAGATGTAGCAGGTGCAGCTGAAGCAGGCGCAGCTGAAGCAGGTGCAGCTGAAGCAGGTGCAGCTGAAGCAGGAGCAGTTGTCGCAGGAGCAGTTGTCGCAGGAGCAGTTGTCGCAGGAGCAGTTGTCGCAGGAGCAGTTGTCGCAGGAGCAGTTGTCGCAGGAGCAGTTGTCGCAGGAGCAGTTGTCGCAGGAGCAGTTGTCGCAGGAGCAGTTGTCGCAGGAGCAGTTGTCGCAGGAGCAGTTGTCGCAGGAGCAGTTGTCGCAGGAGCAGTTGTCGCAGGAGCAGTTGTCGCAGGAGCAGTTGTCGCAGGAGCAGTTGTCGCAGGAGCAGTTGTCGCAGGTGAAGTTACAGCTCGAGTAGCTGTGGCAGGCGAGACTGTAGCAGGGGCAGTTGTCGCAGACAGATTTTGTTCCAATGGGGACAGCATTGTTGCTACATCAGCAGTTGGTGCAACAGCGGTGGTTGGAGCTACAGCAGCAGCATCTGCTACAGCCGTTTCTCCATGATGAGCAACCAGCATTCCAGCCAAGACTGCCCCCTCTTCGACCTCACTCTCCTCATTGCTCTCCTCCCTCCTCTCCTCTTTCATCTCCTCTTTGCTCTCCTTTTTTGTCCCCTCTTTCACCTCTTCCCTCTCCTCTTCCCTCTCTTCTACTCTCTCCTCTTTCCTTTCCTCTTTCATCTCTTCTTTCATCTCCACTTCCCTCTCCTCTTCCCTCACCTCTTCCCTCTCCTCTTCCCTCACCTCTTTCCTCTCCTCTTTCCTCTCCTCATCTTCCTTCTCCTCTTTCCTCTCCTCTTTCCTCTCCTCCTTCCTCTCCTCTTTCATCTCCGTTTTCCTCTCCTCTTTCCCCTCCTCTCTCTCCCCCACCTTCTCTTCCTCTCCACCTTCATCTTTCCTCTCCTCTCCTGTCTCCTCTTTCCTCTCCTCTTTCCTCTCCTCTTTTCTCACTTCTTTCCTCTCCTCGTTCCCCTCCTCCTTCTCCCCCACTTTCTCCTCTTCCTCTCCCACTTTCTCTTTCTGCTCCATCTTCTCGGATTTCTCCTCCTTTATATCGTCTTTCCCCTCCATCTTCTGGGATTTCTCCTCCTTTATATCGTCTTTCCCCTCCATCTTCTCGGATTTCTCCTCCTTTATATCGTCTTTCCCCTCCATCTTCTCGGATTTCTCCTCCTTTATATCGTCTTTCCCCTCCATCTTCTCGGATTTCTCCTCCTTTATATCGTCTTTCCCCTCCATCTTCTCGGATTTCTCCTCCTCTTTTTCCTCATTCCCCTCACTCCCTTCCTCTAGCCCCTCATCTCTCCCCTCCTCTCTCCTCTCATCTCTCCCCTCCTCTCTTCGCTCCTCTCTCGTCTCTTCTCGTTCCTCTCCCCCCTCCTCTCGCCCCTCCAATTCCTCCTTCTCTCCTTCCTCCATTCCCCCCATCTCTCCCTCCTCCTCTCTTCCCTCCTCCTCTCCCCCCTCCTCCTCTCTTCCCTCATCTACAGCCACAACTACCTGCTGACCATCCCCATCGCCATTCTTTTGAGTCGACTCAAAAGTCTCTCCCCCCTCCTCCTCTCTTCCCTCCTCCTCTCTTCCCTCCTCCTCTCTTCCCTCCTCCTCTCTTCCCTCCTCCTCTCTTCCCTCCTCCTCTCTTCCCTCCTCCTCTCTTCCCTCCTCTCTTCCCTCCTCTACAGCCACAACTACCTGCTGACCATCCCCATCGCCATCCCTTCCCTCTCCAACAACCATTCCATCCTCCTCCCCCCTACTCATCCCTCCCTCTTCTTTCACCCCTTTCTTCCCTGCCTCCCATTCCGCCATTTCCCTTCGTTCCCCCCCTCGCTTTCCTTCTCCCTCCTCTTCTACCGCTTCCCCTGTTCCTGCACCTCCTTTCTCTCCTAGACTTCCCTTCTCCCCAGCGATCCCCTCCTCTCTCGCTTCATCTTTAAACCCCTCCCCCTCCCCACCACCCTCCCCTCCTTCTACTCCCCTCTCCTCTCCAGCTTTGCCTCCTTCCACTTGCCTATCCAAACCCATTCTTGCCTCTTTCTCGCCACCACCAAGCCGCCACACCCCCCTCACATCATCCCACTCCAGCCTCATATCCTCCTTTACCATCCCCCCACCATCCATTCCTATTCCTAACCTCCCATGTTTTTGCAACCCTTCCTTCCCTTCCTCCTTCCCTTCCTCCTTCCCTTCCTCCTTCTCTTCCCCCTTCCCTCTCTCCCCTTTCTCCTCCCCTTCACCGTTCCTTTCCCCCTTTCCTGCATTCCCTTCCCCAGCCACACTAACCACCCCAACACACCTCCCTTCCAGTTCCCCCATTTCCCCTCCTCCCTCTCCTCCACCCTCCTCGCCTGTCACAATATCATCAACCCCTCCACACCTTTCCACTCTACTGCTCCCACCAGCGTCTATCACCACCTTTGCACCTCCAATCTTCTTCTCCTCCTTCTCCTCCTTCTCTTCCTTCTCCACCCTCTCCTCCTTCTCCTTCTCCTCCTCCTCCTCCTTTTCCTTCTCCTCCTTCTCCTTCTCCCCCTCTTCCTTCTTCTTCTCCTCCTTCTCCTTCTCCCCCTCTTCCTTCTCCTTCTCCTCCTTCCCCCCCACCTCCATCTTCTTCTCCTCCTTCTCCTCCTCCTCTTCCTCCTCCACCTTCTCCTCCTCATCCTCCCTTGGCGCTCCTCTCGTCTTACCCCTCACCCTACTGCGTGTTTGCAGCTGCTTCCTCACACCCCACACCATACCATCACCCATACCACCCACACCACCCGTGCCACCCAAGCCACCCGACCTCACTGCGCTATCCCCAGAGCCATCATGCAACACACCCCCCTCAACCGCATCCAACCGCCTTCGCTTCACATGTGACCTGCCACCACGCACCCTGGGGCTGGGAATATCACCACTCTGCTGACTCAACACCCTCACAGCATCTTCTCCCTGATTCAACACCCTGGGGCTGGGACTATCACCACTCGTCAGCCGGTTCACACTCGCAATTCTCGCACTTTTCCCTCCGTCCCCTCGTCTCTCCATCCCAGACCCCTCCTCCTCCCCAACCCCCTCCCTTCCACCTTCACCTTTCCCTTCCTCCTCCTCGACCTCCTCCCCCACCTCCCCCTCCACCCCCTCCTCATCCTCCTCCCCTCTCTCCACCGACACTGCAACCTCTACCACGTCAGCAAGCCTCCTCACTTTACCAGCACTGCTGCCTCTCCCCTTCCCAGCCCCCTTTCTGTCACCCTCCTCACCCTCCTCTGCCACGCCAGCACCTCTCTCACTTGCCGCACTCCGTCTCCCACCATCCAACAATGCTCTCACTTCTTTGCTTTGAGGTGACTTTTGAGTTGACTCAAAAGTCACGTCAGCACCTCTCGCAATTGCCACACCTCTTCTCCCACCATCCAACAGTGCTCGCACTTCCCTGCTTTGCCCAAGCCATCCCCTTCCTTGCACACTCAACCCCCTCCCTTTCATATCCGCCCTGCTTCGTTTCAGATTCGCCCTCCTTCCTTTCGGGACCTTCTGGAAAGCGCCCACCTTCCCCTTCCCCCTCCCCACGCCCCCATTGCCCCCGATGGGCCCCCTGCCCCTCTCAGCCTTTCCCCCATTGCCCCTCCCCCTCCCATTCCCCCTCTCTCCCCCATTTCCCCCGCTGCCCTCTTCCCTTAACTTCGCTGCTCCTCGTGTTTCTCTGCTGTTTTCTCCTGAAACGCCTGGTGCATTGCCGTTTTCTCCTGGGCCCTTGTTGTTTTCACCTGGCCCCTTGCTGCTTTCTCCTGGAGACTTACGGGTGGTCTTCCTCACGTCCTTGCTGAGAAAGCATATGATGGCCAAACTCCAGTGGCTGCGGAACCTGCAGAGCAGATAACATATAAAAGTGTGTAAAAAAGGGGACGGATCAGGAGAGGGTTGGGTGGATAGCGGGGGTTTTGGTTGGAGGGAAAAAAGCGGGAGGGAGCACGGTCAATAGTCAAAGCCTGCATGAGCAGCAGAGGTTAGACTGCAGAGGTAGGGGAAAGCTGCATGACCAGAGCGGCATGCAAGATGCATGCAAGCAGAGTGAGGGACAAGGAGTTGCAGGCAAGGGCGTACAGGGCAATAAGGATGGGCAGAGAGAGGCAGAGACAGACAGACAGCCAAAGATGGCGAGCGCAGCAAGGACACTTACTCTTCATGGAACGGGATGACGATGCAGTCCTTGGAGAAAATGTCTGTGCTTCTCGTGGCGACTTTTGAGTCGACTCAAAAGTCACCTCGCAGCAAGGACACATACTCTTCATGGAAGGGGATGACGATGAAGTCTTTGGAGAAAATGCCGGTGCCTCTTGACCACCTTGTTCCGTGCACCACGAAAGCACGACCAGACATGGGTAGAGCAGAAAGAAAGGAACGTACTCTTCATGGAAGGGAATGACGATGAAGTCCTTCGAGAAAATGTCCGTTCCTCTTGTCCACCTCGGTGACTTGGCTTGGCTTGGCTTGGCTTGGCTTGGCTTGGCTTGGCTTGGCTTGGCTTGGCTTGGCTTGGCTTGGCTTGGCTTGGCTTGGCTTGGCTTGGCTTGGCTTGGCTTGGCGCGCAGAACACACGCCCAGGCAAGGAGCAAAGAGAGCAGCGAGGGACCACAAAGAGCAGCGAGGGGAGAACGTACTCTTCATGGAAGGGAATGACGATGAAGTCCTTGGAGAAAATGTCCGTTCCCCTCGTCCACCTGGTCAACCGCATCAGCTCGTGCGGGTCCTGAGTCAGCTTCTGGCAGAGGGAGAAGAGGGAGTGGAGGGGGGAGAAAGCGTGGGGGAAATGGCACATTGTAAGCCCATCTGCCCATCTCCACAGGCGGGGTGGAACGGCAGGGTACAGGCTCAACTTCTCAAGTTGTGAAAAAGGGAGGGCATTGAGGGCGTGTGGAGGGATGATGAGTGCACTGCACTGCACCGCACCGCACCACACACCACAGCAGGAACTGCATCGCACTGCAGTGCAGTGCACTGCACTGCACAGCAGGGCAGAGAAGGGCACAGCACAGCACAGCAGGGCACTTGCGAATCGCTCCTGGGTGCGAAAGAGTGAGGTGGAGAACAATGTGCAAAAGAAGTGGAACCGTGACCGCTGCAGCTAAGCTGGAGCACCGCACTGCACCACACCGCACAACACAGCACCAGACTGCACTGCACATCACGCCACTTACGAATCGCTCCTGGGCGCGGGAGAGTGAGGTGGAGAAGAAGGTGCTAAAGAAGTGGAACCGCGACCGCTGTGGCTCCTGCAGCATCGTCTGTTCAATGAACCTGGGCAGAGACACATGGAGGGGTGCATAAACTAAACCTCAACATCATCATAACCGGAAATTTTCTACAGGCAAAAACCCAGAGACAACACTTAACTGATCCCAAATAAACGACAGGACACACATACTAGGCATGAAATCAAGGACACACCTACTTGACATAAAAGTCGATGACCGTGTCGTTCAAACACTGCATTTGCTAAAGACATCAACACTGCAGTTGCTAAAGACATCTCTTAGTGGCACTGTCTGCCTCTCCTCTTCATGACCACCAGTGGAAGCAAGGACGCACCTACTTGACATGCAATGAACGAGTCAAGAGCACACGTACCTGAGAATTTAACTTGTGAGGCGCTTCAAAAACTGAGACAACTTTTGAGGCGCCTCAAAAACTAAGACGACATTTGAGGCGCCTCGAAAGCTGAGACGACTTTTGAGGCGCCTCGAAAGCAAGGACGCACCCACCTGAGAATCTAACAATGACACACCTACCTGAGAATCTAACAATGACACACCTACCTGAGAATCTAACAATGACACACCTACCTGAGAATCTAACAATGACACACCTACCTGAGAATCTAACAATGACACACCTACCTGAGAATCTAACAATGACACACCTACCTGAGAATCTAACAATGACACACCTACTTGACATAAAAGTCGATTACAGTGTCGTTCAAACACTCCCCTGGCAGCAGCCGCTGCAAGTCTGCTGCCTTCACCTCCACTGCGCCCAGCTGCTGCCTGCACACGCAGGCACGAAGAGATGATGGGTGGGAGGGAGGGGCATGATGGTGGGCGGTGCGGTGGGAAGAGAGAGCTTGACACCATACCAGTGCGCATCACAGTGGCTTTTGAGTCGACTCCAAAGTCACGAAGAGAGAGCTTGACACCACACCACACCACACCATACCATACCACACTATCTCACACAGTGCGCATCATAGTTAGACACTAGACTACACTACCACTGTACACCACGCACCATGCTGTGTCAGAAACCAACATACAAAGTGGGTGGCATAAGAGGTGACTTCCGAGTTGACTCAATAGATAGCTACACACAAGGTGCAAAAAAACGACCGAAAGATTGAAATTCTGGCGTATAATACGCTATCGTATTTTTCGGCCGTTTAAAACGTTTTAAAACGCCAAAAAGTGGTAATTCTAATGTGGTGCAAAAAAACGGCCGTTTTTTACACCAGAAATCTTGTAACCAGCTGGTTTACACATATTTTCAAGTATTGGTTCCAACCATGAACCCTCGATCGGATGAACCAGCCATGAGGAAGACAAAGGAGATTTATCAGTGGGACTGTAGTAGAACGGTGACTCCAGGGAGGAGAGGATGAAGAGTCTGGGGGGAGGAGGAGGAGGGTTGAACGAGCGCAACCTAGACACTTTGTAAGCATTGTATTGCTTCTTTGCTATCCTGCTCAGGAGCAGAGTCGTGTGTACTGTCTTCAAAAAAAAAAAAAAAAAAAAAAAAAAAAAGTCACAAAATCTCTAACAAAAAAACGGCCGAATTTTTTAAATCTGACCGTAAAATACGAGCGTAAAAAACGGACCGTATTTTACGTTTGCCGAAATTTTGCATCTTGGCTACACAATACCACCTGGAACCGTGCACCACCACTGTGTCACACCGCAACATACCTGGTGGGATATGTGAACGCCCGCCCTGCAACCCTGCCAAGATGCAGAACAGGGGATCGAGGAGGGGGGTTTCGAGAGAGAACGAGACAGGGAGGGAAAAGCAAAGGAAGGGAAGCGTGTGGTGGACTTGGGAAAAATGAGTGGACGAGCGAACAATGAACGCAAAACAACCGGCCCATTTTTTGGGCAAAACAATGAACAATGAACAATGAAGCACTGGCACATTCTTTGGGCACCTCATAAATCCTGTAGCAACTTACCGGTCCAACCACTGCTGGCATCGGTCTCTGGTGAAGACAAACGGGAGGCCG